TTGATCGCAAGGACACCTTGCTTGTCATTAAAAGCTTGGACTAAGTCCCTGATTAAAGCTAGCCTTGTTCTAAAACATGCATGGAAGATTGGAGAAGTGAGCTTCAGCAGCTGCTTGGATGAAGAAGACACTGTCTCAGGAAAAAAGCATTTGAGTAGTTGCTGTCTATGCCTTGGAATTGATCTGAGCTTTACACTGAGAGGTGTACATTACATTACATTCCTAACTACATGAGGTGTACAAAACCAGGAGCAACTGTGAGACTGAAGCAGTGTCACAGCATAAGCTTGCTGAAGGATATTAAGAGGAAGAAAGATTTGGACTGCTGGTAGGTTTGCAGAATATGTGTGGTTGCATATAAAAATTATTCTTTCTGCCTGATGCAGAAGAATGGACTGGCTAGTTTCTTTTTTAAAATTAATATTAAGTTTGGAAACAATTCCTAAATGAGGAGTGAAAAAATAATGCCAAACAAAATAATCTAAATTAACTTGTTCTTGTATTTGCTGAGTGCATGTTTTGAAGAAGAGATTTCATAAAATTTTCTAAATACTATCTGGAAAGATGGGTGGTATGCAGGAAAATGTTTAAATAAATTGGTTTTCAAGTTTTATACACTATGTTTCAGAAACTATAGAAGAGATTAAATTATGTTAAATTTAAATCTTCAGAACACAAAGCATCCTTTAGTTTCTGAGGATGACTTTGCATTTAAATTAAAATCAATATTTTAGGTTGATGTTGTGAAAACTGTTAACTTCATAAAGCTTAAGGGAAGCTTGGAACTAAAGACATAAAAATGATGAGTAAGTGCTTCTTCATCTGTTTTAAGAATTTGGATTTTGCTACATTTTCTCTGCAGATGACATTCAGCTGAGTTAAATGAGCATATTTCATGAGTGAACTTAAAATTCATTTGTCTCTGAGCTTATGAGGCAAATACATGTATTCTGCTTTAGAGAATCCATGAAGGGATCTTACCATGAAGAAGCAATATTTGATGTGGAAGAAGTAAAGGGAAACCCACTGTCAAAGCTCTGGTCATACAATAGCTGAGGGGGAAAATGGAGACAGTGTAAACATTCATCAGCCCTCAGAAATCTCCACCTAGGCAGTATTTTTAATTTCTTTTTAATTCACAAAGCCCATATTTTCAGCAGCCCTTAAGAAAACCTCCTCCCTGGTATTGCCAGCTTGAGCTGTTCTGTGGAGTATCAAATAAAATGCAAAGGTTTCTGTCCTTACAGAATAAGAATGGAAAAAACCGCTTCAGTTCACCATATTTCTCATGGTAGAATCTGTCAGTAGAAAGCCCAGAGTTTATACAAGTGTTGTTTAACAAATTTAACCACCTCTTTTCAGTGGAGCTCAGAATAAACTAATTAGTTAATTAGATAATGTGTACAGCCTTGCTTTTTGCTGTCAGGACCACGAAAGTGGGAGCATTGATTGAGAGGGTAAACTGAAAAACTTCACCTGAAGTAATTCCACAATAAAGTGAAATTAGTGTAACAGTCATGGCATTCCTATGCCACGTCTTCTATATGAAATGCAGATCCCAGTGGAACTGAAGCATATAAAATAGAGACTTTAAGTTTACATTTGTGAGGCTTATACACTCAGTGTGGCAGCAAATGGCTTGAAATATGCAGGGAGCAGCATCACTTGGAAGAATCTTACTGACATCATTTTAAAAAAAGGACAGAGGAGGAAGAAAGAAGTGGGGTCTTTGACATGTAGTAGATTTTCTATTCTTTTTCAGGATCAAAAAATGGTTAGAAACTGTATCAATAAATTACAGCACAAATTTTCACTAAGGCCTTGTCTATCTATCTCCCAGAATGCTATATACAATGAATTGCTGAATCATTTCAGCATCTGCTCAGCACAAAGAAATGAGGCAATTGGAATATTTTGTATATCATCACTTTGGGAGATAGGGATGGCTGCTGTTAAGAAAAAGAACTTTGCTGAGTGGACACAGAAGAAGCCAAAATATAGGAGTAAGGAGAACTCCTGTCAGGAGGGAGAAAGGGGTGCTCTGACTTAGGGCAGGGTGAAGATGGGGCTGTGAACGTGTTCCAGACTGTGCAGCTGGAGTCAGAACAACCATGTCTGTTCTGGGGAAGGGTATTCATGGGTGGGTGCTTTTTTATGCCCTTACCTTCACACAGTTGTGCTTTATCTGTAGCCTTGCATGGTAGCTGGCCATCTAAATCCACATGCTTTCTATGTTAAATACACTGCAATGCAGAAATAGTCCTTTGGTTCTCAAGCTGTATAAATTTGCATAATTTAAAAAATTGCTTGGTGAATACATTAGTCTTTCAAAAATGCTAAGTCCATCAAAACTAAGACCTCTTTTATCTTTTTGCTCTGATTTCCAGCATATTTGCTATGGTCTCATAATGCCCAACAACAGACACATCAGCTCTGTCTTTATAGGTGGTGCAGAAATCAAGAAACAGGGTATGTGACTGCCACATGATACAATCCAGCATCTTCCTTTTTCTAAGCATGTTTGAGAGCTTTGCTTTATCAGAGCCATGTCCATGTGCTCACATCCTCACTAAACAGAAACAGTACTGTACACAGTAAATTAAACGACCCCTTTGCCCTCTTGGGTACTTATTTCACCTGCTACACAAGGTGCTGCCTCAGTGATGGACACATGAGTGTAGTGTCACCAGGCAGCTGCTCTGCTGGTGTCCTTAATGGATACAGATTCTGCTGGGCTGCTTTGGCTCACTGGAAACTGCTGAAATGAGTTGTGCTGGTCTCAGTCACTCCCCGTACACCTGAACATCTCTCTGGTGGCCAACAGCGTCCAAAAGATGGCTGGGCTCTAACCAGGTTTGTTGTTTGGTGGTTTTTTTTATATAATCAGAATCATTCATCTGCTAAGGTCTCCCAGCTAACCCCTCATCATCACCTGGTACGGTGGATGCAGCTAGAATCAGTGAGTTAAGTACCACTGACCATCACCGGCTGTACCCACCAGGGATAAGTTATAGATGCCTTGGGTGGGAAACTGGCTTTCCTGGCTCTCAGAGCTGTGAGTGTTTACTGACTTGGACAACCTGGCATAACAACTGGATTCATCTTACTACGTATAAACTCAAATAAATTTGTTAGTGAAGTAAGCTAATTGGATTTAAAGGAGAAGAAGTCTTGTTTTGGAGATGAGGTAACACAATTTATAAGAGCGTGCTGAAGTCGCGCCACTGCTTTCTCCCACAATAAAAGACTGTTAACTCTGTCAGGTGTTTTCATAATTTGTGCAGGGGATGGTCAGTGAGCACAGAGAAAGCAAAGTCCATGGGGGGATATAAATAGAAAGTGATGTATTCCCATTGCTGGGCTGGAGAGGTCTGTGGTTGGCTGTGTTTGGGTAGACTGTGTGTAACACCCAGTGGGGCAATGGAATGCTGTAACTCATCTCAAGAGGATTGTGTCCAGTTTTGTGATGGTGTGAACACTGTTGTGTAGGTGGAATTGAATTATGTTCTTGAAATCTTCAGGCACTTTGAGTTCCCTGAGTTGGATCTATTCATAGGTTGTTTCCTGTTTGCTTTATTTTACGGTTTGACAACATCTCCCAAGTCTTCCCTGGAACAGAGAAAGTACTTCAAGATTAGAGTGGTAAATAGCATCAGCCCTAATGTTTCTTCTCCTCTAATCTTTACTGAATGCACTACATTCAATTAACTTCTAGAGTATAAAGGCTGAAAAGCAGTATCTGAATTCAGTTCTGGTACAATACAGATTATTTCTGTTAGTTTGACACAGGTGTGTGCACTGTTGTGTTGCACACACAGGTATGTGCACAGAGCCCTTTGTGAAGTGTATGCTTCAGTGCTTTGGGAGCTCCATAGGTATCTGGTTTTCTGGATTGTAAGGATGTTATTTTGGGGGTTTGTTTTTGATGCCAGTGCCAGTATTGGTAGGCTCAGTTTACATTAAGAACTGCCTGGTGTTTAAAGTTATATTAAAAACCACCTCCACTTTCTTGCAGTCAAAACAAATAGACAAAAAATACCCTAAAGATATGAAGCCTGTTAAAAGAAGCTTTTTGGGAGGAGCCAGAGAAAGGTGAAGCCACAAGGAATTTGAGGGCATATGGGAAGAGTTGCAATAACAGGTTGGTTGGTGAGAGAGTGAACAGAGCTGTGAAAGGAGATAGAGAGCTCAGACATATCAAAAACCAGATCTGTTTTTTTCCTGTTGTCATCTATGGTATACTTATGTCACTTGCTCTCTAAAATTCATTCCTCTGGTAGCTATGTGTTCAACCATCATTGACTTAATCTCATCTTTTGTGTACTTTTATAAGGTTTTTGTTTGTCTAAATACAGGCTACCAATCTGTTCAAGATGAGGACAAGTTAGATGCAATTCATTAGGCTGTCATGTATAACTTTAATTTTAGCTGAATTTTACATATCTGAGAGCTTAGTGGTGTCATTTTTGCTTGTTTTAAGGTGTACAGTAATTTAATAGCAAGTAAGTTTTTAATCTGCTACATTAAGAGCACTTTAAATTTGTAGTTAATGAAATGTCTTCATTGCAGCTTGTTTTTTGCTTAGCATTCATACTTTATTTTGAACTGGGAATTGAATGCATGTTCAGTGAGGAAGGGCTGATAAGAGAGAGTTCAGCTGCTCCTCTTCCATTTGAAAAGCAGTCATGTACTCTTAACTATCCTTCTTGTCTGCTGAAAGTGGTTGGGATTATAATAGTTTTTAAATTTGAATAAATTGAGGAAATGGAAACTAGTTCATCACAGAGGAGTTTTGCAAAACATCTTGATAGGTCTTGATAGGTAATGTGCTTAATTTTTAATGTCACAAAATCAACTGCTCTGAGTCAAGGGGATCGACTTGTGCCTACACTGTGGTAAGGCCCCGTCCTTGTGGTCCAAGGCAAAGCCATGTAAATGTCATGGGCTAAGGGTTCATAAAAGTGCAGGAGTCGTTAATTCCTTCCATGATTTTTTCTCAGGCTCTCTTCTCCGAAACCATGCCAGAGATGACAGAGAATGAGACACCTACAAAGAAGCAGCATCGGTGAGTTGCTGTGGGAAAAGGACTATGTCTGTAGTCTGCAGTCAGGTTGCAGTTACAAAGTTTCTAGCTAAAAGTTTGGCAGTAAGGGTATGGACAAGAAGTTCTGTGTGTTCATCAGGGTTGATCCAAAAGTTTCTCTCTTGCCCTGTCTATGCCAAACTGTTTGTTAAAGATATATCTACTTGGGTGACTTAGGCAAAAGAGATTCTTTAATTATTTCACTGACTATTCTGATGTGTGTAGAATCTGCATTGGTTAGAGCCTCTCTTTTTGTGGAGGCTCCTTGTAGGTATTGGGGGGGTAACTATACTAATTTTGACAGGGTCATTTAGATCTCTTCCTCACCTCCCAGTGGAATCTGGATCTTCCATCTCAAATCTCTGCAGGAACTCAAACTACACCTTGAGGTTGTACGGCAACACTATGACCAAAATTTGTAGCCAAGTGACTCAGCACTCACTAGAACTTTTCCAGTTTTGTTCCTTTGTGTTAACATGGGTGACCTAATATGTGATTGGTAGGGGAATTCTTCAGTCCTTAGTTAAATGCAGCATTCATCTTACACTAGTTAACCATGTAGGATATGGTTTATGATCAGGAAAGCTCAGAGAGAACATTGATTTGTCCTACAGAAGGTTTTTCAGTCTTTGCAGATTTCGTGACTCTTTCTTAGCTGACCAATAGAGTATTTTGTGTTCTGTAATGGTAATGTCAACCAAAGGACAGCTGGGTCTGTCCAGTCCTTATATTCCTGTGCATATTTAGTATTAATGATCATCTTTAAGCATTGTTTCTTAGCAGATGTCTCTGGGTCTGACCTGTAGCAGTAACATTACTGTCTCTAATCCTTGTCCAAGTTACTCTAGGTGTAGGCTCTCTTTAGTGAGTTACCAGAAATCAGTATCAGCTCAAAGCACAAAGGAAATACTGTGCCTCATGGTAATCACACATCTTCCACATGTATCATGCATTCTTAGCTCAGATTCCTTGTTACATCTGGACTGTTCTGTGACAGGCAAAAAGGACAGCAGAAGATGTTACTCTGCTTTTTGCGTGCCCTAGTAGACATCTTTGCATCTAGGGTGTGCTGCGGGACAGAAGCTTTTTGAAATTGTTTTCTTCTAGAATTTTGCTTTTTCCAGAAGACATGTGCTTTGCTTTACTGTACTTCCTGGAAGTATTTGTCTTAGTGCATGTGTATAGTACACCTTATTTATATACGTAGATTATACATTTGAAATTTACTGACTGCCAGTAAAGCAATTTGGGGCATTGCACAATGATTGTTGTCATCAGTCCCAGGTGAACATATGAAACCAGACACAACCCTCACATGCCCAAAACACACCTAATCAGAATTTTGAGACAGTAAAGAACAGCAGCTGCAGAGGAACAGTATTTTTGGTTTCTCTCACAAAGGAAGCCCCTTTGACACTAGAAGCTATGATGTTTGAAAGCAATGTGGCTGGAAAATCAACTTGCTGCATGGTAAAGTTTTCTTCTGTTTCAGTGATCCAGTGAATGTAAAAGCAACATTTCAGACAAATACTTAACTGTCTTGTTCCTCAGAAACAAAACGATTTTTAAAAAATCTTTGGCCTTTTTGAACATTGCAGAGTGTAACAGGAACATAAAAACCCAGCTCTCCACTATAAATATGTGTAAATAATCAAGTGGAGCATTACACTGTGCCATGTTATATTGCAATTGATTTAAGTCTGACCATGAACAAATTTTTGTTAGAAACTGTCTAATACCAATGTCTAAGAACATCTGATTGTGACTTCTGCTTTCTAGTTCACAGAGCAGACTATAATATTTAGTGTTTTTAGCTGTAATAGAAATAATATAAGAAATATTTGTTTGTATGCAGGTCTTTAACCTTCAGTTTCACATGAGTCTTTTCCCTTTATGTTTCACAGAAAGAAAAACCGGGAGACACATAATGCAGGTGGGAACATCATGCTTTGCTGTTTGGTCTGGAAATAAGCACAGACACTTTGGAGTAGTAAAACATACTTTGCATGAGAAGGTTCACCCATGGGAGTTTAGTACACTGAAAAAGTCTCATCCTATAAAACACCTTTCTGTGTCCTTGCATAAAATAACTGAGCAGATTGTTTCTAGTTCGCTGGTTTCCACAGTACAAAGTTAAAGTATGAAGGAACACCTGCCTTTCCAAAGCTAGTAAATTAAGAAGTAAACAATTTAAGCTGTGTTCAATAAAGGAAAACAACTGCACAGGCATTCACATACAACTAGTATCACCTCTGTCAAAACAGAGATAGGTGTCCTACCTGAGAGCTTTAGAGGCTCCTGGATTACAAGTATTATTCTAGCCTATTCCTAAGGCACCCACTTGGATGGTGACGCCCCAGAAATTCTGTGCAAATGTTGGCTGTGTCTTGCAGGAGTCACATCCCTTGTGCAGCACCCAGTCAGTGTCTAGTGCCAATGGCATCTTCTACAAGTAGGAACAGAAAGATGGACTGGGGAAGAATATGGAAGGCTTTGGCCTGGTTTATCCAAAGAAATTGATTGCAGTTCTTCTTCTGCCAGAACAGCAGTATCATGAGATCTTCACAAACTCAGCTGGAAAAACCACTGAGCAGTTTTCATGTGAAGCCTGAGCAGTGCTGTGCTTGTTGAGTGTGCTCAGGGTGTGGCCAAATTCTTAAGAATTAAGAAGAATCAGGAAACAGTCTTATCAAGTTTACTTCTAAGATGGTTGGCCTCATTGGAATTCCTAGTTCCTGTTTCACTTGTTGATAGCTTTCCAAAATCTTTATTACCTGGGCTGAACTCTGCAGTATGTGGGGACCAGCTCCTTCCAAGCCTATACTTTCTTAGTCATTAATATATGGAAAAGCTGAGGAGAGTGTTGCAAATATTACCAAAACAAACACTGTGATATGTGTATGTATTAGTAAGATATATAAAAATTAAATATTAATTGTCCTGTGTTTTAATTTTTACAGAGGTGAACTAATTTATATGGTAAATTTCCTACATAAGAAACTTTGTCTTGCTGTGTTCAGTGTGTTTAGGCCTGTCTCTGTCAATGCCAGCAATCTTCCCTGAAATATAAAAACAAATTGTTTGAGAAAGGTAAATTGAAGTGACAGGCTACTGAAATAAGACTATTTACATTAAATTAGTGAGTCTTTTGTAACAGAGCAAAATTAAATACACTCACCTGCAGGTCATGGTTTGTTTCTGTGTGCCACCAAAAGCAGAGCAACTGCACAAATCAAAAGGTTCATTCAGCACCATGAACGAATAACACAATGGTTTGAGTCCTGACAAAGCCATGACAGAACATTTTCCTTTTTTTTTTATTTTTTGAAAAAAGACATCTAATAGTTTAATAGTTTTCGGTTTGCATAGAACATAAAAATATTTCAGTAAAAAAAATAGCTACATGAGACTTAAGTATATTTGAAAGAGGCTGCTGTGGTGGATGGAAAACAGAGATACTGTCTGTGAAAACCACTCCTAGACTTACAGTGTAGACCCTTTCTGCCAATATTCAGACCTATTGAAGAGGTAAATGGTATCACTAGAAGACTATAAATGAAGCATTTTCTGACCTTCTGCAAAATGGGTAATTCATTGGAACTAGTCTCCATTCAGTATTTTCTTTACTCCCAGCCAGTCAGACGCTATGGAACAGTTAAACCTTTGGACATAGAAAAGGGTAACTGATAGTCCATCTACCTACAGCTTCAGCTATGTACAGTGTTGGCTGGCTCCTCTGTTAATAGAAATTTAAAATTCAGCCTGAAGACTGATAAAATCTACATTATTTCTCTTTTGACATTCGAATTTAAGAGGCATGGGTTTTTGCTTCCCAAATCTGAAACTGATTCTTTCCATAATCTTTGTTCATTTGCTTTCTGCATGCATAAATTTAATCAATTTCAAATTTAATCTGCTTTATGAAGAGAGTGTCATAAAACTGTCTTAGAAAGCAGTTTCAAAACCCGAATTTTGAGTTGTAGAAACTTGACTTTTTCATGAAGGAATCAATTTCAAATTTAATCTGCTTTATGAAGAGAGTGTCATAAAACTGTGTTAGAAAGCAGTTTCAAAACTTTGAATTTTGAGTTGTAGGAACTTGACTTTTTCATGAAGAGGTCCAAAATATCCCCACCTTTTAAAGGCTATTTACATTATGGCTCTTTGATTCCAGTGAGTATTAATGAGGTTTACTTTAGAGGAACATTTTTCCTCAATCAAGTTACTCCAGGTTCCAGTGTGTAATGAAATAATGTATTTATGAGCCCTTGCATTATCCTAGTTGTGCTGCTGTTGTGCTGACTTGTCCAACCAGATGACACACTACATATTGTTTTTGCTTAGTGGAGAGACATCGAAAGAAGAAGATTAATGCTGGGATAAACAGAATTGGAGAACTCATTCCCTGCTCTCCAGCACTTAAGCAGGTGAGTGTCCATCCAGAGGTGCATACAAGTTTCCTGTCAAACGTTCAAATGTTTCTTTGTCTGTAGAAGTATAAATACTTATTTTACTATTTGTATTAGCAAGAAGGCAAAACTGTCTGAATTAAAATACTCAAAACATATCACTATTTGTTAGTATTTTAAAAACTACTTGTAATAGAATTCCTAGTTGGAAGTGCAGTGTCACATGAATGTAGTTACACAGATTTTGAGCATTTTATCTGAAAGTGTTGCATATGACTGCTTCTTTTTTGTCATCCTTCATATTGCTTGAAAGCATTTCAGAAACTGAAATTATAATAATAGTAATTTAAGACACTTTCCTTGCTAAAGATGAAGCAAGACAAATGCTTTGAGGTTGATACACAGAAGCATCTTTTTCAAGATAGAGGAATCCCTAGCAGAGACCGTTCCTACGGAACAGTAAAAGAAATTAAGAAATGAACAAAGGTTTTGCAGACAGAATAAGCATAGCTTCATAAAAAGATGATTGTGGATGGGTCATTTTCTCTTCCCATACTCCCTAGTATACTACTTTCAAAATTATGCTTATATCTCCCTGGATAGTTGTTCCATGTTTGTTGCCTTTCTAATAAAATATTTACAAGGCAGTATCCTGGAAATCTCATGTGATGTGTATGTTTATTAGTGAACATGAATTTTAGGCTGATCATCAAGAAAGGATGTTGGCTGTTCAGGATTTGTGGCCTTAGTATCTACTTCTGGGCATCAGAAAGTGTCAGCTCCAGCACTGGAAATGTTATTCTGTAAAATCCAAGGCATTTTAGGGTCAGCATCACTCATAAAACCTGTAGTTTCATCTTACAAAAGCAACCAAACCAAAAAACAACCTCTAAAAAACCCAACCCAAACCAGAAGGAAACAAACTCTACCCAGTGATATTCAGAGCATATTTTTAAAGTAAAGATCTCTTGGAGTAAGTGCAGCCTCATCACTAATGGATTTACAAATTCTAGACCTTTCTCCTAATCTTGTATGTGTGTTTTCTTTTACAGAGCAAGAACATGATCCTGGATCAGGCCTTTAAGTACATAACAGAAATGAAAAGACAGAATGATGAGCTTCTGTTAAATGGAGGGAACAATGAGCAGGGTAAGTACAGATGCTGCTGAGGGCTCTAGAATTTCTGTCCCTCACTTCTGCTGTGTCTCTGTACTGACTAACAAGAAAACCTGGAACCACACATGGGAATCCGGAGAAATTATGCACCTACAGGAAAAATACAGCTGCTTAGAATATCTTGAAACAAAAAGCTGACAGAATGCCCAAGTGAGTGTTCTGGCACGTAGCTGTCAGATAATGAAGCAATTGCATTGTGATGTAAAGTAATCACAGAGCTTATGGTGATGTGGTGTCATCTCGTAAATTGTGCCCCAGTTTATTCTACTGTAGTGACCAGAATGATTTCTGATAAACTTCAGTTAATTTTTTTTTCATTGAAAAGATGAAGTTTTCTTCGTTCATAAAGCTTTTTTTTTTTTTCAATTTGAAAAGCTGTAAAAGTTATAACAGCTCATTTTGTAAAAATATAATGCATCATATAAAATTTACTTGAATAGATGTGTAAAAGTACAGTGGTGGAGGTGTGACAGAAATAATCTTCATGGCTAATGTTGGGGTTTGTGATTTTTATTTCTGCTTTATTGTGATTTTCCCAGTTTGGTGAGCCATCTCCCAAGAGCATTGCCAGTTTTTGTGGCTTTACATGAGTGCTTTGTATTTCATTTTGTCTGTAATTTTTAGATGTAATGAAATTCTGGAAAGCCGTAAGTCCGTAAGCTTATCAATTAAAACAGTTTTGGTGTTTGCAAAAGAGCATGGAAAAGAAAAAAATTAATGTGCTTGTCTTTCCTTCAGGAATTAAACAGTTTTGATTAGCATTCAATTTCATTTGGGATAGTCCTAATATTTTTTCCTAAATAATTTGATATAATGGAATAGTCTGTGAAATTCATTCACTTTAGTAGAGAGACTTATCAGGATAAGAGCACATAGGTTGTGCTAACCATTTGAAAACAACATACATTATTAACAATTTATTCAATTTATTTCTACAAATTATTTCATTACTTCACAGTGTTTACTCTCTAAATCATGTGGTAACATTATTTCATTATTTGCTCTGGTGCTGATGTAATGGAGTGTTCTGACTGTTTTGTAGCTGAAGAGATAAAAAAACTCCGGAAACAATTGGATGAACTGCAAAAGGAAAACGGGAGATACATCGAGCTACTGAAAGCCAATGATATTTGCTTGTATGATGACCCTACAATCCACTGGAAAGGAAACCTCAAAAATGCCAAGGTCTCAGTTGTTATTCCCAGTGATCAGGTTCAGAAGAACATCATTGTCTATTCAAATGGGACTCAGCCAAATGGAAATAACCAGGGAGCATCTGTGCAGGGAATAACGTTTAATGTCGGTCATAATTTACAAAAGCAAACAGCCAACGTTGTGCCAGTTCAGAGAACTTGCAACCTAGTGACTCCTGTGACGATTGCTGGTATTTATCCCACAGAAAATAAACCATGGTCACAACCTACAGTTTCTCCACTGGCTTCTGCTCAGACAGCTCCGGCAGGGAATGTTCTTGAGCTCTCCACCCCGGAGAACGAGCGAAGTGTGCCCACTGCTGCTCCTGCCAGCTCACAGGGCACACCTCGGCCTGCAGCAGAACAGGAACTACAATGTCCTTCAAGTAATGCTCCACAGAATGAGCAAAATCCCCCCAAAAGTAAAAGTGATGAGGAGGGCACTAAATCAACAAAGAAAACGCTCCCGCAGGGAACCAGCCTTCCTTCCAGTGCCTCCGTGGAAGCCTCCCAGGGTCAGCAGGTGAATGCAACTTGCTCAAATACACACAATTCCAGAAGTGACCTCCAGGAGAGCGGTGCCATTTCAACCACGGACACAGCTTGTGCGCCACCTGTGAGATTGTCTGCTGCAGAGAGCTGCTCTTCTGCAAATGTCCCCAAAAGTACGGACGTGGTCAGCAGTGCTGGCACGCCTGCGACGTCTACAGCAGAAGGAGTTAAGGCTGTGACAGCAATAAGCACTCTGGCTGCCAGTCCTCTGGAGAACTGCTGGTCTTTTTCAGGCTCTTCAGGTGTTGGCACTTCAGACTTGAAAAACATGAGTAGCCTTACCCGGATGCCTTCAGCTGGGAACACGCAGACCACGTGGACCACCTTGCAGCTGGCAGGAAACACGGTTCAGCCGCTGAGCCAGACGCCACCCGGGATAATGACTGCCCTCCTCAACGAGCCAGTCAATGGTGCTGGGACTGTGTCTTCTGCCCACAGCAGGCCTTTGACTACAAGTATCAGTTTGCATGCTTCTCTGCCTGGGGATGGCCAGGCAGCTGAACAGATTGTAGTTACCTTGCCCTCGTGCCCACCTGTACCTATACAGCCTTTAATCAGCCAGCCACAGGTTAAAGCTCAGGCTGCAGGAAATATCCTTCCATTAAACTCAGCTATGCAGGTGATTCAGATGGCTCAGCCAGTCGCCTCAGCTGTGACAGGAGCACCAGCTAACCAGAATGTCATCATTCTCCAGCCTCCAAACCCTGCTCCATGCCCGCCCATTGTGAGAGCGGACGTTCCCAGCCAAAATGTTAGTCAGCAAATTGTAATTATACAAGCTGCAAATCAGAATCCTCTTCCTCTCCTCTCTGCTCAGCCTTCTGCTTCTGTAAGAGTTCCCGTGAATGGGCCGACTGCAGTCGCCAATTCCAGCGGCTCCATGCAAAATGCCTCCCTTCCACAGACTTTTGGAGGGAAACACCTTGTCCATATATTACCAAGGCCATCTTCTTTGCCATCTTCTAGCTCTACGCAGACATTTTCAGTGACAATGTCCAACCAACAGCACCCTCAGACTATCTCATTAAACGGGCAGCTTTTTGCATTGCAGCCTGTGATGTCTTCATCCGGAGCTTCAAACCAAGCCCCTATGCAAATTATTCAGCCCACCACCAGCGAAGATCCAAATACCAATGTTGCCCTCAACACATTTGGTGCTTTAGCTAACCTCAATCAAAGCATATCGCAAATGGCTGGACAGAGCTGCTTGCACTTGTCTCTCAGCCACCCCACCAATCCTGCAACTGTCAATAACCAGATTGCCACAGTTAACTGTGTGTCACTGCCAACTTCTGTGGCATCTTCAGTGCCTGCAGAGGTTTCGGTATTAACCAGTGCGTCTAATTCCATAAACGCTTCCCCGCAAAAAGCGGCTGCTGGCTTGCCATCCAGTGCAAAATCAAAAAGGACAAACAAAAAGCCAAGCACAAAGAAACACCTAGCAGTCAATAATAAAGTGTCCTGCCCAGCAGTTCCTTGCAAGGATGCAGGGAAGGTGGACTGTGCTCCTGTGGAAACGGTGGCCAAGCCCTCAAGTGGCAAAGGGCCACCAGAAAACGCCCCAGCAGTGTCACAGGCTGTAACCACACCGCAGACGGGCAGCACGGCTGCATCGAGCGGCGTCAGCATTTCTGACTCTCCTTCCAAAGAGGCTGCAAGCTCCGAACAGGCAGTGAAAGCCCCCTCTGCTCCAGAGCCAAGCGTGGCAGAGGCGCCTGCTTCCTCACCGCTGGAGTCTGTAGTGTCAGAGCAGCTGCTGCTCGCTCCCCCGCCGGCCAAAGATGCTGCTCCTCGCCAGCAAGCCCAGGGATCTCAGAGCCACCCAACTGCTTCTGTCCCGTCAGAGTCTCCCAAACCCTGTGAACCCCCCAGCACCTTAACATCCTCTGGTAAAGAAGCACAGGTTACACATTTGCAGGTTGCAAATGGGACTTCAGCAGCACAGAGCAACACAGCAGGTCATACTTCCAAGGCAGGAATGATTTCGGAGTCCTGCAACGCTGCGCAGGATTCCTCAGTGGTAATGCAAGATGCGGACTTGTTAGAAGGACAGGGTCTAACCAAAATGCTGTCTGATCTCACAAAAGAAAGAACAGCTGTGGAAAAAACCTCTTCCTTTACTGTTCAGGGGGAGCATTCTAATTTTCCTATGGAAAACTCTAAATCAGCAGAATCAAATGTTGATTTGCCTGAGAAGCAGGAACTCTTGTTGATGAATACAGAAAGTGACACTCTCTCCCAGCCTCACTCCTGCATCTCTGATCAGGAAGTAGTCAGTGCTTCCCTTATTACTAGCAGGCAGGCAGACTCCCCCATGTCAACCAGCTCTGGCAGCAGTCGAGGCTTCTCAGTTGCATCTATGTTGCCAGATACCACCAGAGAAGATGTCACAAGCAGCACCTCCACCAGTACCTGTAACAGCTGCACATTTTCAGAACAGACTGACATTGTAGCTCTTGCAGCCAGAGCTATTTTTGACCAGGAAAGCCTTGAGAAAACTGGAGGGGGAATACAGGTTAGCACGAGGGATGTCATCTCCAAGTCTGAGGTCGCACCTTTGGAGAGAGAGCAACAGCCTTTTAAACCTCAGTCAGTGAAAGAAAACAACGCAGGGCCGCTGGAAGCGGCACCAAACAAATTCAGTGCTCATGAAACAGTACAGACAAATGTCGACAGGCAGATTGAGAAGCCAAGCTGCTCTGTAGGAGGTGTGGAAACATCAAACACTCCTTTGCAGATTTCCTCTTCCCAGACACCCAGCATAACCAGTCTAAGCGTGAATAATCTGATACACCAGAGCCGCACTGTCCATCCCCTGGTGAGTTGCTCGGGTTTATCCCAGCCTTCAGAGCCTGCAAGCGTCCCTGCAACCGTGAGCCTCTCCCTTCCATCTAGCACATACATCAATCCGTCTCCGGGACCTGCTCTGATGAGTGAATATGCTCAGGAACAACTGAATGCTATCAGGGCAAGCAGCATGCAGGCTCCCCAGCTGCAGGAACCACACTTAAAGCAGCAAAACCATGAAGGTCGCAAGGACTCTGCCAAGAGGGCCGTTCAAGATGACCTTCTGCTTTCTACAGCAAAGAGGCAAAAGCAGTGCCAGACAGCACCCATAAGGCTTGAGGGGATGGCTCTGATGAACCGGACACCAGAGGGTATTGCTGATCAAACACAGATGCTGGTTAGTCAGATTCCTCCTAATTCATCCAACTCAGTGGCACCAGTGAGCAATCAAGGGCACGCTGATGGCCTCAGTAGGTTATTCCCACCCAACAGCAATTTCGTAACGCCGGCTTTGAGACAAACTGAAGTTCAGTGCGGTTCTCAGCCACCGCTTTCAGAGCAGCCAGGCCAGGCAGCGCAGCACTTGCAGCCAATCCAACACATCCCTGCCCAAGGCATCTCCCACCTTCACAGTAATCACCCGTACTTGAAGCAGCAGCAGGCTGGGCAGTTAAGAGAGAGGCACCACTTGTACCAGCTGCAGCACCACATCAGTCATGGGGAAAACTCAGTCCACTCTCAACCCCACAGCGTCCACCAACAGCGAACGATACAGCAGGAGGTGCAGATGCAAAAGAAAAGGAATCTCATCCAGGGAACACAGGCCACACAGCTTTCTCTACAGCAAAAACACCACGGAAGTGATCAAACACGGCAGAAAGGTGGTCAGCCCCATCCTCACCACCAACAGATGCAGCAGCAGATGCAGCAGCACTTTGGAGCTTCCCAGCCTGAAAAGAACTGTGAAAATCCTGCAACAAGCAGAAACCACCATAACCACCCTCAGAGCCATATCAATCAGGACATTATGCATCAACAGCAACAGGATGTTGGCAGCAGACAGCAAGGTTCTACTTCAGAACACGTGTCAGGACACAATCAGATGCAAAGACTTATGACCTCGAGGGGCTTAGAGCAGCAAATGGTGTCGCAGGCCAGTATCGTTTCCAGACCATCAGATATGACATGCACCCCTCACAGGCAGGAAAGAAACAGAGTTTCCAGCTACTCTGCTGAGGCTCTCATTGGGAAGACACCCTCTAATTCTGAGCAGAGAATAGGGATATCTCTTCAAGGCCCTAGGGTTTCTGACCAGCTTGAAATGAGAAGCTATCTTGATGTTTCTAGAAGTAAAGGGTTGGCGATTCATAATATGCAGGGCCGCTTGTCAGTTGAGCACACAGTTGGCTCGGATGTGCAGCGTCTTTCTGATTGCCAAACATTTAAGCCCTCTGGACCCAATCAACAACCGACGGGCAATTTCGATGTACAGGCTTCAAGAAACAGTGACATTGGCAATTCTGTGTCCTCCCTCCGGGGCATGCAGTCACAAGCGTTCCGAATCGGTCAGAATGCTGCGCCATCCATAGAGAGGCAGAAGAGACTGCCCTACCAGCCAGTACAGGGTATTCCAACGGGGAATACCCTGCCATCGAGGGAAAACGAAAACACATGCCACCAAAGTTTCATGCAGAGTTTGCTCGCCCCTCACCTTGGAGATCAAGTCAGTGGAAGCCAAAGATCAATGCCAGAACATCAAAGGAACACACAGTGTGGTGCCTCCTCCACAATCGAGTACAACTGTCCCCCAGCACGGGAGAGCGTCCACATCCGAAGGGATGGTGATGGCCAGAGCAGGGAAAGCTGTGACATGTCCATTGCGGCAATTAACACAAGGAACAGTTCATTGACTATTCCTTTTTCGAGTTCTTCTTCCTCAGGAGACATTCAGGGTCGCAACACAAGCCCTAACATCTCTGTGCAGAAGTCCAACCCCATGAGGATGACAGACAGTCATGGAACTAAGAACCACATGAATACACCCGTGTCCAGCAATATGCATGGAGTTGTGAGGCCAACTCACCCTCACCCTGCAGTTTCTCATGGAAACGGCGAGCAAGGGCAGCCTTCTGTTCGTCAGCCAAATTCTTCGGTCACTCAGCGCTCGAGGCATCCTCTGCAAGACAATGGAAGTTCTAAAATACGTCAGCCCGAGAGGAATCGATCCGGAAATCAGAGACATGGAAATGTCTTTGACCCTAGTCTTCCCCATCTTCCTCTGTCCACCAGCGGCAGCATGATCCTTGGGCGCCAACAGTCCACGATAGAAAAAAGAGGAAGCATTGTCCGATTTATGTCTGATGGCCCTCAAGTGTCCAACGATAACACAGCCCCTGACCAACATACGCTGTCCCAGAATTTTGGATTCCCTTTTATTCCAGAGGGTGGCATGAATCCACCAATAAATGCTAACGCTTCTTTCATCCCACCAGTCACTCAGCCTAGTGCCACTCGGACACCAGCTCTAATCCCAGTTGATCCTCAGAATACACTGCCGTCCTTCTATCCACCTTACTCTCCTGCCCACCCTACCCTTTCCAATGACATTTCTATCCCTTACTTTCCCAATCAAATGTTCCCAAACCCAAGCACGGAGAAGCCGAGCAGTGGAGGTTTAAACAATCGATTTGGATCCATTTTGTCTCCTCCTAGGCCTGTTGGTTTTGCTCAGCCAAGTTTTCCTCTGCTTCCAGATATGCCACCAATGCACATGACCAACACATCGCACTTATCCAATTTTAACTTAACTTCTTTGTTTCCAGAAATAGCCACAGCTCTTCCTCCAGATGGCTCAGCGATGTCACCTTTGCTTTCCATTGCAAACACATCTGCTTCAGATTCTTCCAAGCAGCCCTCAAACCGCCCTGCCCACAATATAAGCCATATTTTAGGTCATGACTGCAGCTCAGCTGTATGAAAACTGGCAGACTGACTTCTGGTCTGATTTGTTGTTTATATATTTAAGAAGAAGGAAGCGGATCTTAGTGTCACCCCTGGAGAGACCATTCATAGCATCACTGTTTATTTGCCTCAATGTATGTGTATGGTACTTTCCATATTCCGATGTATTTCCACCCACCTTACTGACTCTAAAGCACCAGTGCCTATAGCAATGCTTACTTACTAGGAAACAGTAAGGATGCAACATTGAGAGCTGTGCAAATATTGGTTGTTGATTTTCCAACAATCAGGTTTGATGTCTGGTTGTCCCAAGGTAAGGGCCACCCTCAGTAATACATGGAGTGAGAGCATCCGTATGGAAATAGGAAACAAGTGCTACAGGTGTCAGTTTGTTCCTGATGTGTTTACCTGAAGCTGCAGAGGAGCTTGGAATGGTTTGGGTTTCTCATTTTCCTTTGTAAAGTATCTTCAGGAGCTTCAACACAAGTCAAGTCTGTGTTAACCCAGTGCTAACTGGAAAAGGCATTTGTTGTGCAGCTTTTGTCTGTCTCAAGCTTGTCAAGTACACTTAACTTAAGGCTGACTTTACCTGGTGAAAATTACTGTGTGCTCCCATGGTCAGCAATTAAAAGTACTGTTTTAGAAAATTTAGATTTCTTTAACCCATGACTTTCTGTTTCTAAGGATCTTGTTTGGATCTGTTTCAACAGTGGCTTCAGTTACTGCTGAACTCAGTGTTTCAGTGTAGCTCACGACTCCTCATGCAGTCTGCAGAGACAGCAGCCGTGTTTGTTGCCATTTCATTGTTGATTGCTGCAAGTTACCTCAGGGTGGGTTTTGTACCTTGTTTAGCACCTTCTTAATGTCTTTTTTTTTTCCCCTCTCCACTTCTCTTTGGCCCATGCTCTAACACCAGCTCTCTGCTTTCTGTGAGTGACAGCCCTGTGTTGTACCAGGCAGCACATGGAAGGAGGACTGAGCCCCCATTGCATCCCACAAAATGAGTGGAGATTCCTGGGGGCACAGCTTTTACTTGATATTGCTGATAGGATTGAGCCTGAGTTAATATCAGTACTCTGCACTTGAATGCACCTTTTATCTAAACCTGTGTGATTGAGGCTGAAGGAGAAACATGGATGTGTTGAGAGTGAAACACACAGGAAGACATTGGGATTTGAGGAAGGGTGATGTGTTTGTAGATGCATGAGAGAGGGAGTGAATGTGTGTGTGTGCTGGCTGAGTCTTCAGTACTTTCACAAATTTTGGTCCTCATTCTTTTAAAGGAAAGGGAAGAATTAGGTAAATTTTATTTATTTAATGTCTCTGCAGTGTGGTTTTTCTTCTAACAGGGCAGAAGTACTTATCTTTTATGTGTTTGGAAGTACCATTCTGGTTTTGATTCTTCAAACAACGTAGTAACTTGAGGTTCCCTGGCATGCAGTCATCCTCTGCTTGTGTGTTGCTCACATCTTCTTGTTGCTCCTGGGACCTGTCAGAAGCTCCTGGTGAGGGCATGGGCAGGAGCAGGCTCCCTGGGATTTTTTGTTTTGTTTCTTTTTCTTTGAAAGGTGGAAAGGAAGATATTCCTCCGTGTCAAAGAACAGGACCCACAAAGAGGGACCTAGAACAGTTTTCCACAGCTTGACTGCCCAGAGTTTGGTTTTGCTAAGCTCTTTTACACTGATCCAGGAAAGCAAGGAGGCTTTAACATGAAAAATAATTGGGCTGTATCTGTAGTCTGTCCTGATGTCTCTGCTCTTGTAACCTGTGGTCTGGTGTTTTCCTGCAAGGTGAAGTAAAACAGTTCTGATCCTGGTTGGGAATCTCAGAATGAACTAGGCTGGAAAAACCTTTGAGATCCTCAAGCCCAACCCATGACCTAACCTAACACCTCCTCATCAACTAAGCCATGGCACTGAGTGCCACGTCCAGTCTTTTCTAAACATGTCCAGGGATGCTGACTCCCCCACCTCCCTGGCCAGACAATTCCATTGCCCCATCAGTCTTTCAGTGAATAGTTTTTTTCTGATGTCTAACCTTAACTTCCCCTGGTGCAGCTTAAGAGTGTGTCCTCTCATTCTGTCAGTTGCTGCCTGGAGAAAGAGACCGACCCCCACCTGGCTACAGCCACCTTTTAGGGAGTTGCAGAGAGTGATAAGGTCACCTCTGAGTCTCCTTTTCTCCAGGCTAAACACCCCCAGCTCCCTCAGTCGTTCCTCACAGGCCTGGTGTTCCAAGCCTTTCGCCAGCCTCCTTGCCTCCTCTGGACACATTGGAGCATCTCGACGCCCTTCCCAAACTGAGGGGCCAGAACTGGACACAGCACTCAAGGTGCAGCCTCACCAGTGCTGAGTACAGGGGAAGAATGACCCCCCTGCTCCTGCTGGCCACACTATGCCTGACAGGAATGCCAGGATGCTGTTGGCCTTCTTGGCCACCAGGGCACACTGCTGGCTCATGTTCAGTCGGGTGTCAGCCAGTACCCCCAGGACCCTTTCTGCCTGGAATCATGATTTAATTCAGGTGGAGCTTATCTTAAGACACTAAATCTAAGTAGTGCATCAGTTCTCTGTTTCTTATAAGTAATTGAGTATTTCAGTTCACACAAGGCAGTTTCTCTCTGCCACAGTGCAGTCACCACGTGGCAGCCACTGGCCTGTGCAGGAGGCAGGGGTTAGGAATGAGGCAGCTCTCAAACCAGCTAAGCCAACTGCAGGTCCGGGTGTGCCCTGGTGAGACTCTTGATCAAAGGGGTGTCTGTGGTGCAGGAAATCTCAAAGGGTCTGCCTCAAGTGGTGAGGTGAGTTCTGTAACAGCACCTGTTCCATGGATTCTGGATGGTAGGGATGGGAATTGGAGCAGCAGCCACTCTGTGGTCACACACACTTGTCTGGTCTTTGAGAAGGGAAGCAAACGTGCCCGTTCTCGCTCTCTTTAAATGTGTGCAGCAATGTGTTTGGCTTTCAAGACAAACTAGTGAAAAATTAAACCCTAGCTTCTAGGACTTTGTATAAAGATGCTAATCCTGCTCATCATTCCAGACATTCACAGAAAACCGTATTGGTTTCCTCTGCTGGAAAACTGCACTACTTTATGATGTCTGTTAAAACTGGAGAGAGCTTATAAACTTAAACCTGTTGCAATGCTTGAATGTCCACAGATCCACTTGGCCAGATAGGATTCATTCCAGAGTACTGAAGGAGCAAGCAGGACATACAGCATGACCTCACTTGATCATCTACAAAATATCTGGGAGTCTGGACAGATCCCTGCTGACAGGAAGGAAGCCAGTGTTATTCCAATCTACAGAAAGGGCATGAGGGAAGAACACAGGGAACTACAGACTGTGAGAGTCTGGGTTTCTGGAGAAATTGTGACTATTATAAATTAATTAATATAAATTGTGAATATTATACTGGGTACTGTTGAAAGTTTTAAGGAATAATGCAGCAGGCATAGGCAACATGGGTTGACAAAGTTGAAGTCCTGTCTAGCTAATTTGATACTTTTCTGCAATAAGGTCACCCACCTAGAGGGTGAAAAGAAGGCAGTGGATGTAATTTTTCTGCATTTTAGTAATGCTGTGGACACTGTCCCTCACAGCATCCATCTGGACAAGCTGTTCAGCTGTGGGATTAACAGGTGTATGGTGTGCTGGGTGAAGACCAGGCTGAAGGGCAGAGCTCAAAGGTCTCACAGTGAATGGGGCTACTACCTCTGCTGGCACCTGCTCACTAGCAGTGTTGCCTGGGGCTCAGTTCCAGGGCCAGTTCTATCCAATGGATTTATCACTGTTCCGGATACATGAGCTGAACACACCACTGGCAAGTTTGCTGATGATACCAAACTTGGAGGTGCTGTTGGCAGATGCTTTGGGTAGGGATCTGGATAGACAGTGAATCTCCTTGCTCTCTGCAGCTCCCTGACAGGGGAAGTGCAGAGGGAGGTGCTGATCTCTTCTCGCTGGGATCCACTGACAGGCCACACGGGAATGGCTCAAAGGAGCACTAAGGGAGGTTCAGACTGGACATTGGGAAGCATTTCTTTACCAGGAGAGTGGTCAGACACTGGAACAGGCTTGCTAGAAAGGTGGTTGATGCCTCAAGCATGTTTAAGAGGCATTTGGACAACATGCTCAATCCTGAAATGGATGGAGACACTCCAGGCAGTTGGAATGGATGATCTCTACAGGTCCCTTTCAACTGAAATACCTGTTCTGTTTTCTTATTCCTCCATATTTACTGCTGTTGTTTCAAGGTTAAATGCAGTCCTGAGTATTCACGATAGAATATGTCAGCTGTGATTTTATTTCGGTTTTTTTCATGCTGCACATATGTTCTGAAAAGGCAGTAACTGTCAGTAACTTTCACATGCCCTCTTTTTGTTGACAAAGACAACCAAAACCAGCTCCTCCTTGCTCACAGGATGCCTGCAGTGCAGGGAATCACAGCACAGTCATTTCAGCCATACAAAGACTGTTGGGATTTTGCAGGAAATGCACCATTTTGCAGTGAGCGGCTGAGGAGTACTTACTGTGTGACCCTTGGTCTTCTCTGGAGGATTGTATCTTGTAGTGACAGGACACTTTCTTGTCCTTCTCAGGCTTTTTTCTGAAACCTGACGAGACCAGGATGGAGCAGTATAATTTCATTCCCCTCCCTAAACATGGCAATTTCTGTTGAAGTTCTGTGTGAGTCTCTTTTCATTCTGTAAGTGGCGCTAAATGGTCCTGTGGCATCGGTGTGGGATCAGGAGACTGCTGTGACAAGAAAGGTAGGCAGACCTCTGTGAGGGCCTCATGTCAACACATTCATCAAAATTCTGATATTTACGCTGCTGACTGGCCTCTAGATAACTTTAATTAAAGAAAAATTGGATCTGTTGTGTAGCCTTTTGGTGCAATTGACTGCCCAAGATGGGCTTTGAATGTTGAATCTGGCCTGGTCCTCTGGTTTGAGAGCAGCCTGTGAGTTTCAGCTTCTCTCATGTTCATGCTCTTTTATCTTTAGGTGGGACAGTGGGGGACTGGATATTTCACATCAAAAGACAGGAAATTAGATGTTAAATTTGTTAGTTTTTAATAATTACATTGGTGTTTTCGTTTGCACTGTAAATGAACCCCACCGGCCATTCCACATCCACCAGGCTTCCTGCATTTAGTTTTGTGGGTCAGTTTGTGGCAATGACATGTTGGTGTCTGTCCTTCCCCAGGGCCTCAGGCTCTGCTCTCAGGAAGATGAGCAAAACATCTTACGAGTCCTTCTTTTCTTCAGTTTTCCTTTCCCCTCCCACTGAACCCGTGGTGCTCAGCTGTCAGGTTGGTACGGCTCACCTTACCTTGATCTGTGCTTGGAGAGGGCAGTTTGAAAAAGCAGCTTCTGCTTTTAATCAGCCAGAATGATTTCTGGTTTACATGTTATGAAAACCATTTGACAAGCAAACACATTTTCTTCAGCAAGCATCAATGACATCAATTTTCTTTTTCTCCTGAGGACTACCCCGCAATTAACGGTTCCTTTGTTTTTCAAGATATACTTGGAAAAGATTTTGTGAGTTTGGCTGCAATTTGTTAGTCTGAGAATGGCATTTTCTCTTCCATAGTACTTTTTTCAAGATTACTTACACAGGGCTTGTTTTGGCTTTGAAGGAAGGAAAAATACCCCAAACCACTTAATTTAGAAAAATCAGCAGTGGAAGGGAAAGGTTGGGCACTAACTCTGGGGTGGGACTGCCATAGCTGATAGGCATTGTGTGGCTGTGGGTTTCAGCTTGGCCTCAATGACTTCAACACACAATAGTAAATAATATTGGGCTGGATTGCATGTATGTCCATATTAATCCCTTAAACAGCCTAGGAGAGTAAGAGCAGAGATAGACTAATTTGAAAGCAGGCAATAAAACAGTAGTGTGTTAATATTTATACACCTTTTTCTTGAGAGAAAGGATCTCATTTAGGAACAGTTAAAGAAAATGAGAACTGGAGTGATTTGAGTTGGGGGCTGGAATGGGTTTTCCAGCTCAGACTTCCAGCTTATCACTGTGGTGCTGCCCAGGTGGAAGAGCACCTCTCTGAAAAAAAAGTAAAAGCAGGTGCTAGTCCCGAGCCTCTGGAACTTTGCACAGATTTCCTACTGCACTTTAAAGCTGTGCTGCTGCTGCTACTGTGCTTGGTGTCTGTAGTGCTGTTGCAGGAAACAAGGCATGTGGCAGGGCAACTAGCAGAGGCTGTGGCTGGAGAAGAGGGGCCATTTAATTATTTCTGTCTCCTGTTGTCTTTTCACCTTTTCTGAGGTACTTGTGCAGTCCTGGCTCACGTCAGATTCCCACTGTTTCTGGATGACAGTGTGCTAAGAGCTGTCATCTCTTGCTGTTCCCTTAGTAAGTTTCATGCTCATCACTTTAATAATGATCTGACTTCTCCTGGCAAGACAGAGTAGCATTGGATCTGTTTGTGCCAGATCAGTCATATTTGTTTTGTTTGCTGACACTATGCTATAAGGAGATCCACTTTTTGCTGTCACTTGACCTGTTGCCACCTCCTGCTGTTCCCTTCTCCCACTGCCATGATCCAGCATGGGTAGCAGACACAGGTTTGTGTGAGGGTGTTTTCAATTTCCCACTGCCTCTGCAATGCGTAAATTGGAAACCTCGGAGCGCAAGGCTTTATTCCCACTGAGAGAAGGTTTCTCTGTGAACTGGTGAAAGATTCAGCAGAGGTTTTTGGACCTGACAATACAAATTCATATTCTCTGCGAGCAAGCCCTGCTTAGTTACACAGACACCATTTATTATTTGCTGATACCAGTTTTTCTGAGATATTTTTTTTAAAGACTTTTTTCCTGCCTCACCAGAAGTATCTTTGTGAGAAGGTTTTCAAGTTTGCAATATGTGCTGCTGTTCTGGCACAAGTGTGAAACAATAGAGCTCGTGGGGGGTTGGACCCTGTTCCTGCCTGCTCACTGTGAGAAGGGAAGCAAGTATGGATTTTGCCACAGGAGATTAATCAAAGATGCTGTTGCCCTCCACAATGTAAATTATTTATACTCAATCCAGAGTATTCTGCTGTGCTTCTGTTTTATACAGCTGTAAATGACTTGGATACAGTCCCAGTGGAAAGTCCTTACTATTTTGTAATGGAAAATAGGAACTCTGCAGTAGAAATCTATAATGAATGAACAGGAACATCATCTTCCAATTGTAAATAAGATCTTGCTCTGTTTATTTTGACATCTTTTTACAAATGTGTTGCATTCAGGTGTAAATATCCCAAACCATGATCTTGTTCAGAGTTCTGAGATTTCTATTGTTAAATGTAATACTTTGTTTAATAGTTGTAATAATTATTTGTATAGATATGAACATGATAGTATTTTATTAAAAAAAGAGAAAAGCACTCTTTGAATATTGTGTTCTTTCTTTCCCCACACACAGCTATGCCATTTACTCTTAAGTAGAGGTAAAAATAAAACTTTTGCTTTGAGACTGGGAATTTAGTCAGAGTTTTCCACTGATGTACATTCTCTGCATACACAGAGTAATGCACCATATTAGTTGGAGATATAAAATTATGTAATTCAGAATAAATAAATACTGATTGTGCAATATCTAAAAAATACACAGCAGGTGCTGTCCCTGCCCCAGTGACAGCGATCAGTGTTGAGATACAACTTCATTGTATAAAATGCTTCTCATCACAGTCCCCTTGCATTGTTTGGAAGTGGTCTAAGACAGTTGTTCTGTCACAGTTTGAAGCTAAAAGATGCAGTTTGGATGAGAGCAGTACAGAGACCCTGCAAGGTAAGTAAAGACTTTTTTTTGGGAGATTGCACAATACTGAAGTTGACAGAATTACTACGAAACAATTATTTTCAGGGGCTTGTAAACCTCAAAAAAATTCTTGCAGGTGTGGAAGTTGCCTTTAGGGAACTAAAACCAGCTGAAGTTTAGTATTAAGATAGAGGTGCTTTTGATCCTTGAGTGACAGCCAGTGTGTTGGTTCAGTCATAGAGGGGAGGGGAATCAGGACACGAGGGAGTTGCCTTCCTTTTTCACACTGCAGTGCATTCCCCCTGCCTTGGCTGCTCTTCTGCCAGTCCAGAGGCTCGAGGGGGAGTTGTAGCAGCTCACATACCCCTGGTAGTTTTCCTAACCTGTGAAGGGATGTCAGTATTGTCCAGAAGCTGTTTCCTTCTCCTTTCACTTGTACTGGGCTGAACAATTTTACCTACATTTCCTGAGAAAACAGGGAATATATGGAATGTAGGGAAGAAGTTTTTTACAATGCGAGTGGTAAAGCACTAGAACAGATTGTCCAGAGAGGTAGTGGATGCACCATCCTGAAAGGCTTGGTTGGATGGGTGTTTGAGCAACTTGTTCTAAGCAGGAGGCATCCCTGCCTATGGCACTATTATTTCCCTTTCAAGAATTGTGACAGCAGCTTCTCCCAGGCATGGGCACAGCAGCGCACTGCCACCATCGGCAACTCGCGCTGCTTTGACAGTGCCGAGTGCCTCCTGCAAACTGGCATCAGGAACCTGGGCTGGAGAGTTTTGTTTCCTGGGGAATGGGCCAGTACTTGTATTAAGGGGTCTGAGGCCCTGAGCAGCTGCCTGCTGAAATTCCACATTGTGCAGGATGCCTCCCAGGCCCAAGCTGCCATCACTGCCATCTCGGGGGCAGTGACTTCACTGCCAGCCCATGGGCAGCAAAAAGGCTCCCTCATCTCCCGACACAATTCCACGGTTCTGCTCTGCTTTTACCCCTACGCATCTGTCTCCTTCTGTGAGCAGAGCAAGGTGAGGAAACAACAGCATGACCCCTGCAAATTAGGGAATGAGGGTCCCCCAGGTACCCAGCAAGCTGCTGTTCCTGCCCGAGGGCAGTGGCCGAAGAAGGACAGCAGCACCCAAGGAAAGCTGCATTTCTGGGGCAAGGGCTGCAGAGCCAAGCGTGCCTGGGACAGCAGGGAGCACAGAGTGCCCAAGTGCCCAGCCAGGCCCCCAGCAGCCACAGCCATCGAGGGGTCAGGTGGCCACCAGCTGGGAGAGCTGGAGCACCAAGAGAGCCCAGCAGGCAGGGCAAAGCTAAGAGGAAATTTTAAAAATTGACGCAGCAAGCTGGAAGCACAGAAGCAGCAGGGAGACGATTCCAACCCTTCTTCCCATCTCTCAGGCCTGAGGTGCCTTTCCTTGTATTTAATTGAATTCTGTCATGGTTTTCTGTTTGTTCTGTGCAGTTCCCCAGCCTCCCTCTCCCTCCCTGCTACCACCTTACCATTCCATGCTGTGCTCATCTCTGCTCAGCACAGCAAGCCCATATGCTGTTCTACCTCCTACACTGAGCCTTCCAACTGCTGTTCAACATTATTTTTTCCTCACATTTCAATTTAGAGAAGATAACCAGCTTCCTGTCTAGAAACAAATACAAGCTTGGAACACGATCTGAGACTACAGATTATGAAAACATAGGGAGAAGGTCTATTTTATAAAAATGTGTCCCCAGAACTGGACAAATGTGGGGGCACAGAGGTCCTCCTTCAGTGTGGCACAGCTACCCCGACACCCTCCAGAGCAGCACAGCTCTGCTCAGGAAGATAAAGGCTGGCAGCCTCTTGTGTCATTCCTCCTCCAGCACTCTCCTCACCCTGCCCAAGGGACTACAGTGACAAACAAAAGTGTCTGTTCTTTACTCTGTGTAACCTCACAAAGGCAATTTGGTTAAGAGAACAAGTAGGTCATCCACACCGATGCTCCAGAAACACCTGTGACAGTCCCAAGGATGGCAGCAGCCATGTGACACCACTGGGCACCCCTCTACCCTGACTGCTGTCTCTGCTGCTGGGAGCAGGAGCAAGAAGAATTCAGATCAACCTGCAGAGCAGGGAACCAGGAACATCCATTTTATTGACCATCTCAATAAACTCCAACTTAGAAAAAAAATAAAAACCAGCTGGTGCAAAACTCTTCAAGGAGGTACAGATTCTTGGAGTAAAACATCACCAGAGTCACCTGCTTTAGTAAGCAGAAGTGGAATGAAACCTTTGCATCACTGGCTACATGCAGATACACCAAAGTGAAAATGCTCAGGCAGACAAGAATAAGGACAACAGGCCTCAAAGAACACTTTTTAATTGCAAATTAGCAAAACAGGTCCCATTTTAGATGCAAGGCCTGAAGTAATTCACACCTTATTCTTATTCTTGTTTTTTTTAAATAACTAAAAAACTGGAAAGAATGCAGAAGCCATTAAAAAACTCATTTCCGATTTGGACAAGTTGGAGAAGAAAATTTGGTCCACATCTTTAGCTAAATAGTTCAACACCAATTGCTCCAAAATCTCCTTCATCCTCCCAGCCCATAAGAGAACCTACTTTGCCGAGGTTGTCCAAGGCAAGCTCATGAGAGGAGAAAGTCTGAGGCTGCTGGCAAACCTCCCTGTCCCTCCCTGTCCCTTTGGCAAGGCACCCAGCAGGAGCCAAAGGCTGCCACACAAGCTGTGGCTTTGCCGTGCGCTCTCGCAGGGTCGCTTGAGGAGAGCACTTGTGGTGCGGTGACAGAGAGCAGAGCACGGCCAAGTGCCAGCAGGAGCTGCCAGAGGAGTGTGGCTGCTCAACAGGAGCGACAGAGAGGCTGCACGAGTGCAAGGCAGGAGGCTCTGAGTCCGGCAGAGCCCTCACAGGCAGCTCTAGTTCACCACCTCCTACCGACGCTGCAGCCTTGGTACCGTGGCTCCCCACCAGCTACCGAAGGAGTCTCTCCAACAAAAAGAGGAAAAAAGAAAACACAGTCCCCCCCACTGCCACCTCAGTTTGGAGTCCTTTCCTCCCTCAGCTGCTGCAGCACAGGAACCAAACGCTCCTGCTGTGCTGCTGAAGGGACTCTTGGGGGGCAGCAGACTGCAGGGTGCAGACATTAGCTCCCTGTGCAGGAGGGTTTGCACGGCATTCTCAAGCCTGCTCACCTGAGAGGAAGTGGAGCACATCAGCAGGAAGAAAGGGAAGCCAAGGTCTCTGACATGCCTCCCTCTTGTTTCCTCCCCCTTCACTGGCTCCAGCACCCACTGCACCCACAAGCCAGAGGGCTGTGCACGGCCCTTGGCCTCTGGATCAAGCCAGCCCCAGAGGATGCGGCAGGAAAGGAGTAACAGCGTCTTCCCTCCTGGTCCCACCTCACTGCCACAGCACCCCTCCATGCCTGCTGGGGGATCCAGTGCCCCTGCTCCCACTGGGCTGTTGGCCATGGAAGCAGGCTCATTCTCCACAGACACCATTGGCCCAGTGCCTTTGGCTGAGTGGCTTGGGACACCTCTGCGCCCCTGTCCCTGGGGACTCAGAACACTGGGATCTTGTCCCTGCGCACCGTATCCAGGTCATCGTCCAGGGTCAGCAGGACCTGAGGAGGAAAGTGCAAGCCAGATTCAGGTCTTGCTGGCCAGGGAGGTCTTCCTTTCAGATACCCAGGCCTTGCCTTTATGGGAGGAATTCACAAATCCATGAGTCATTGGTCACAGCAGCAGCCCCCCAGCTTCCCCATAACAGCTGTGTGACCCAGAAGGAAGTTGAGGCCAGAAGGCACTGCGAGAGAAGTAAGGTAAAGGAGAAAGCCTGACCCCTGATTCCACTGACAAGGAGCATCCCACTGTGAAGGATGTTTGGAGGTAGAGCCAAGCAGAGGAGTTGGGGCACTTTTGTGGAGTTCTGGAGCAGGCACAGCTCCATGTGCACAGAGGTGAGCAAGGTGAAAGGAGAGGGTGAGGCCATCCAGCAGAGTGGGAGGCTCAGCAGGACTCACCAGAAAGGAGAAGAACAAGGCAGCTGCGGAGAGGAAGTGCCAGACATCGTGGTCATCAAAGAATCCCAGCAGGATGCATGGCCGGTTCTTTTCCCGGGACTCGGCTGGAGTCTCCTAGGAGGGCAGGCAGAGGGTCAGGACCTGATATCCACCCCTACCGGGCCCTTGCTGGCCACACTAGACCCTACAGGGATTACCCTATCTTAATCCTCCAAGCAGCATCCAGGAAAAGTTGCTGTGCTGGCCAGAAATGTGGCACGGGCAGGCCAGAAACAACACAATGTTATACTTGGACTTCCAAATGGATCTGGAACCACAACCCACATGCAAGGGAAACCCTCTGCTCTCCACTTCTGAGGTCCTGCACAGCACAGGTTGCACAGCCTCCACCAGACCACCCTGCAACAAGCCCCTCATTTCCATGGAGATGGATGTGACATCCTGTTAGAAGGCACCCAGTCAGGATTTAATGGCATCCCAGGTCACCAAGAGCCCTAACAACCCCAGGCAGGTTGACCTGGTCGACCCCAGGTGGCCATCTGCTCCAGCAATGTCTTCCACCAGCACTGGTCAGGATTTTTCCAGTTCTCCTTCCAGATCCCCAGCTCTTCCTTTGTCCCCTAGGAAGGACCAGTCACCTCCAGATAACCTGGTTATGAACAGCCCCTACACAGCTACAGTCATTTTTGGCTCAGCACAGCTTCCCATGCTCTCTTCACAAGTCTGCTAAATGAGTTAAACCCTTTCAGCTCCCCATGAGCAGCCCAAGACTCATCTCCAGAGTAGTTTTTGTGCAAAACAAGCACCAGGAAGGAAAGATGATGAGAAAGAGATGGACAGAAGAACAGTAAAAGGGAAATTTACCTCCCAGCTGCTGAGGGTCTGGAAGAAGAAGTAGAGGGCAGCTGCCCACACCACTGCTGTGGCCACGATGCAGAACATGGGGATGGGCAGGAGCTTCTCAGAGCTGCGGAGCTGCAGACAGGGACACAGCCTGAGTTCTTTCCAGGGCACAGAGCCATGCACAGGGCTCACACAGCAGCCTGTACTACCTGCATTTGTGAAGGGCTGCCCACCCCCCAAAGATACAGCCCAGCCACCCCCGAAATGGCTGCACACCATCCCTCTCCAACACCCTGTCCCACCCATAGCCCCACAAAGGTCCCTCCACACCCCTCTGCAGCACCACAGGAACCCAAATTGCAGCCAGAAAAAAGGCCCATCCCTTCCCCTCTGGAGCCAGAAGCCCCAGGGACAGCTACAGCTGTCCCATTACCTTCATGATGATGTAGAAGGCCAGATACAGCAGCAGGTTACAGATGAAGATTCCCAGTATGTAGGAGGCGAAGTCTCTGGGCCGATACACCAGCCCAAAGATAGCACTGAGAGAGAGGACAGGAGGGACATCAGGCAGCTTCTTTCACTGGGGACAGGGTACATCCCCAAACTGACAGCCACCCACTGTTCTACCCCCACCAGGACTGCAGGACACAGCACCAGTGCCACAGCTTCCCAATTCCCTGGGGGAAATGCACTGTTTGCCTCTGCTCCAAGCCAAGGAAATTTAGCCATGGTCACACGCTGAAGTAATTGGAGACCCCAGAGGACAGGCAAGGGCCCTGGATTGCTTCCATGGCCAAACACATCTCCTTTGGTAGGATCTGGCCCTAGACCTGTACATTTGGCAGAAGGCGTGTCCCTGAGAAGCAGCTTCAGTGAAAAGCAAGAGCCTGGGGCAACGATTTTAGGTCTCTTCCGAGAGCTGATCCCTCCCATGCAGTTACTGCTCAGCCAGGCTCTGTCACTGAGTGCCTGCCAGGTCTCCTGCACCTTGGCTGTGCCAGAGATCTCCCAGCTCTGTGGGAGGCACAACACAGCAGCACAGTACCTGCACAAGCTCCTCAAACATGAGCCATGAGACACCCCAAGCTGAAATGCTCAGGGGATGCTCCATGTAGCTCTAGTGTGCACTGGACCCCAGGGATCTGCCTGCCAAAACATGCCAGAAGGGCCCCAGCACAGGATCATTGCACAGACACTGCTGCATCTCCCCAGGACTCCAGGCCACCCGTGTCCCAGTAGCAAATCCTGCACAAATACACAAAGCACCAACACGCCAGTACTTACAAGGACCAGTTGACCAGGTTCCCAACGATGAGCAGCACCATCCTGTCCTGGAGAAAAGACACTGAAGATCATATAAAGTGAAAAGAGTATGCAAAAAGGCCTTTGCCTCAGAAATTCAGGAGAGCATTATGTGAGGATTTGGAGTCCAGCTCCTGCAAACAAACATGCACCTGGCTCTGTGGGAGCTTTTACTGGATGGAAACTTCTCCGACCCTCAAAAATTTTAAGAAAGTGTTGCAAGGCAACTAAACATCTAAGGAAGGACAAGCTCAGCATTTAAGGGATCAACCTCAGGAGGTTCTGTGAATCCTTTCACTGCTTCTACTGTTTTTCTAGTTACATTCCTTCCTTCCTTCCCACTGTTTTACAAAACAATTACTGCAGAGAGGAGGACGTGCTTGAAAGAGGTAGCAGGGGAAGCTTTGGACAGCATCCTGCACATATTCAGGGAGCCTTTTTTTCCTTGCCATCTCACCATTAGTTGGGGAAGCACTGTAACAACAGCAGGCAGAAGGATTGTATCTGTGGGACATGTGCATTTATGCTTACAGCTGCTTTCATGATGTGGCTGTTTCAGGCTGGCCAGGCTTACTTCATGCCTGAGTGGACCAAGTTTGCTTATTCAGAGATGGGAGAATAAATAAAAAATTAAGAAGGTTTATGGATAAAAACTCCATGGGGCTTCAAGCCCTAATTAGCACTCTTTGCTAAGGAGAAAGCAATCAGTGGGACACAAGGGAACAGCCACCTTTTCTTAACTTTTTGCTATCTGACCTGAGGTGCTGCAGAAATGGCAATTGCTTTTGCTTAAGCCACAGACCCAAAATAGCTGCAGCCTTCCCCAGAGAGGCTGCACTGCACAGAGCCTCGTACCTGCTCCTCTGAATGGATGCTCCCAGAGAGCAAGTGCAAAGGCAAATGCTATCATGCTTGTATCACCATTGCTCTGATGTTTTATTCACCAAGGCTGAGATGAGGGGAGGCCTGGAGACTGGGGGTAAACTGCTCCAGCAGAGACCTACACTTACCCAACCATTTTGGGGGAAGGAGAACAAGGGGAGCAAGGACCACCACTTTTTCAAACAGCCCCACCTCTTTCCTCTGCACGTTGCCTGAAGAAGTGAGGAATTGCAGAGGGGTGCTGGGATGAGAAGTCACCTACCATGTACATTGGTCGGCTGCACTGCTGGATACAGTCCGTGTACAACACCATCACTGCTCGCCGAAATATGCCCATGTCTGTCAAAGGAAAGGACAGAAATCCAGAACAGCCAGCACAGTGAGCTCTAAAATGCCTGTGAGGAAGAAGCTGACACCCACCAGCTGACAACAGACAGCCCAAGGTGTCAGCAGATTCATGTCTTGCCCTTTGGAAGCACAGCACTCTGTGCTGAGCAGGAGGGCATCCACCGCAGGATGCAGACAGCAGTTGGCCAGAGCAACAGCTTACAACCAAAATAAATTTAAAAACCCCCTCTACACTAGCACTGCTCAGAAGTCACACAGGCCCTGCCTGTAGGTGTAAAGAGGCTGGCTTTGCAATCCCATCTCTGGAAGAGAGGTGCGTGTGTTTGTGTGTGTGTGTGTTTATGTAGGAAGGGGGAAAAGCACCTTCCATGGAACAAGTTGCCAGAGCAGGGAAACAGCAGAAACATGTCCCACAGGCTTTAGAGGGTCCTAGAGGGGCAGAGCACACTCAAGACACTCCTGCCCTCAAAATCATTGCAGAAGCTTCAATGCAGAGCCATCAGTGGCAGCAGGGATGGACAAACATGCATGAATACACATGTTCCTCTTTAGCCACAACACAGAGCTTGAAAAGGCTCCTGCACCAAGATCTGAGCTCTCCTGTGCTGGATCACTCCCCTCCTGCCAAGGAACAGGACTGGCAGTGCTGCTGGCAAACTGGTTTCACTTCCCAAGAGCTGACCCCAGGTGGCACACGATCCTGCCTCCCCACACACGTCCATGCAATCCCTAGCTGCTACAGCTCAGCACAATCAGTTCTACAGGGAAAAAGGAAAGCTGTGGTTACCTGAGTCAGGGTCATCTGAGGCAGACAGGGGCAGAAGAGGAAGAAGAAATAGGTTTAAGCAGAGCACAAGAGCCAGGCTCCCCAGCAGACCCTCTCCCCCCCACCCCATGACAGGGTGTAGGTCCCCCCTCCGAGCACAGCACTAGGGAGAACTGAGCTCCCTCAGGGCCCAGCAGTCCTGCCACCACACAGCTCCTGCTGATTCCCAGTGGGAATCAGGAGCACAAGGACTTCAGAGGCCAGGAAAGCATCAGATGGATGAGAGGAGAGGGTAGCCCGGAAGAGGGGCCACAGGACTGTGCTGCACAGGCAGGTGAGGACAGGAGGCACCGCACACCCAGGAGGAGATGGTTCGGTCACAGCACTCACCGATCTTGAAGCGACCCATGTAGTAGATCTGGGTGCTGAGAGCCAGTGAGGCCAAAACGTGGATCAGTGAGAAAATAACCCAGAACCACATGTCATTTTTTCCAAACACCTGAAAGCAAAGATATTTTAAAAGTAAACTGAGCCCTCTTTCAGCAGGACAATCCTTTCCTGGGCTATATCACCATGGGACATTAAGCAACCTCACTGAACACAGAAAAAACCGCTAAATCTTCCAACCAGAAAGCAGATGTATAAATTCAAAATGAAGTCCAGAGAAGCAAGATTAGCTCAGCATCCTGGAGAGGAGACCATTCTTTCTGAATGCTCCTTTAGACAAGAGTGGATGGACAGCAGCTGGCCCAGCTCAGCAGAAATACAAGGCCAAGCAAGCTCTCTGCTGAGCTGGGTAGCAGTTCTATGGCTAGGAGGTGGATTTTTACAAAGGCAGTCAGGGAACCAACCATTACTTTAACAACTGTACTGAAGTAGACCAAAAAGGACAGAACTGCTCTGCAGGCAATTGCTCCTACGGTGCATTTTCATTTTATTTAAGGACTGGAAGTAACCTGCAAGCACAGGTTAACGCTACATTAAAATCCTAATTTTTCATTCATACAATAAGAAGTCCAGAAACTCTGATGTGCCATCAGGCTGTGACCACTTCCCTACCCTGGGGCAAAGCACTTGCCTGAAATTTTCACTTTGTGTGAGCAGAGATAAAAACCTGTGGGTTTTTATCAAAAAGCAAGTGGAAAAGCCACCTATCCATGAATGGAACAAGGGAGACATGCTGCTTTCAAGCTCCACTGAACAGCTTCAAAGCATCCCACAAAAGAAGACAGAGCAATCCACAATGAAGTCTCAGTGTTTTGAACCTTGTCAAGATCTACTACACCTATCAAGAGATTCTTGGGAAGTCCCAAGGTCACTAGCTCCTCCTGCATGCCTTATCCCACAGACAGTCTTGTAAACAGAGACCTCTGCATTATGTGGTAGTGAGGAGCTCACAGCCCACTGGCATCTAGCTGCCAATTCAGAGCAAGAATTCCATGGATTTTGCCAGGTTACTGATGAATGAAAACGAGTCCTTCAAAAGAAGAGAAGCAGAGACCTCCAAGGAAAAGCACAGCTTGAGGATCCTGGTGAGCCCAGCTCAGTACTTGCAATGCTGTGAGCAAACAGGCAAAGTCTGGCAGCTTCTGCTCCAGTGCCCTTCTACTGGCAGGTACTCCAGGAATTTGCCTGAGAGCCCCCCATATATCATCCTTGCCCTGCTCCTCTCCAGAGATAGGAAAATCAACTGCAGAGGCTGTGACAAACAACATGGAGTATTCCAAAGGGGAGAAATAGGCACAAGCAAACAGGTAAAAGATACCTGTCTTGGAAGCCCAGCCAGCCTCACCCCTCTTTCCTCCAATGTGAATCATGTCCCAGGAAGACCATCTATGCACTGGGACATGTACATCTGGGTGCATGAATTTCTGCTCTTGAGAAGGATGGCATGTGGTGGGCAAAGCCCAAAACAAGAGCCCATCCAGAGGAAACTGTTCTGCTCTTCTCCTACCTGAAAGCTCAGGGGAAGGGAGGAGGAAAGCCCAGCAGAACTGAGAATTCAAATGCTGACAGCTGCTTGACACACTCTTATCCTACTCTGCAGCTTTCCCCAGTTATTTTCGCACTTCAGCTGTATTCCCAGCCACACCACCTCCATCCCAGAGAAGCAGCAGAGTAAGAGGGAGCCATACCACTCCAAGGACAGCCAGGGAGATCACCACAGCAAACGAGGCATAGGCGGAGTAGGCGCTGGCATTGATGTCTGGGTGCCGGGTCTGGTAGAGCTTGAGCATGCACAGTCCTGCGATCATGTACATGAAGGAGGTGTCTGTGGAGGGACACAACAGAAACAGTGTCAACACCTACTGCCAGTGGCCCCAGAAAGCTGCTCCAAGGTCACAAAAAGCATCAGGGATCTGTGCCTGCCAGCCTTGGGTTTAGCCCTGCGGCTGCACTACACTGTACAGCACTTTGTGCTTTGCCACCTTGCAGCAGCACATCTTCCATGCTCTGGGGAAACAAAAACTAAAGGGGATCAGAAAATAAGTGTGCACAGAGCATCACAACCTCCTGACTGAGCTTTGAAACAGGCAGACTCCAGGGAAACTTGCAAGGGTAGAGAGATGCGAAATGTGAGCAACTCAGCAAGAGACAGAACATGGCAAATCCTTAGCTCCAGCTCAAAAGGAGAAAGGAAACTCAGCTTACCGAACTGGAAATTGGAGTAATTAGGGCAGACATGGTAACAGGCACTCAGCACCCCTTCCATCATCAGAGCAATGCCCATAGCATAAAAGAGACCAAAATGCTTTGGGATCCCATAGTCCTGGAAGAGAGCAGAGCTGTTTAATAAGTGTCCTCAGTGACCTGATCACAGGCAAGCTTCCATTCTCCATCACTTCATCCCTCCTAACTCCTATACAATTCCTCTAGTCATCAGTGCAGCACAGTGTCCTGGGTGCAACCACAGGTTCTGGATTTAGATACATGGCATAGCCAGGTGAATCCACAGGCAGCAAACCTAAGCTAATCACGCTGGAAGGTCTGATCTGAAGACCTCAATGTCTTGGTACTGACATCATGTGACTGAAAATCTCTGTCCTGTACCTCATGCTATGCTACATCCGGCCCAAAACTGAGAGAGGACTGACCAGAATTGCTCTTGTGCTCAGCAGGGTCTTAGGAGCTCTTGAGTAGAGCCCATCAGCCAATGTGAGAAGTCATTTCCACCACAATTTTGCCAAGATTTCACCTGAAAACCCAAGCAGCAGACCATTACAATCACTAGTGCCTTTACTTGCTACCAAGCCCATGAGAACAGAGCTGTTTGTCTCCAGAAACCACCAGCAACTCTGCCCACAAGGCTGCAGATTTCTCCATCCTCTCCCACGAGAGACTACACAAGCTCTGGCTACAAGAATCTCTGCTTCAGAGACTGAGGCAGCCAAATTCCTCTGAGTTATCATAAGCAGCTCTTGTGTAAGACAAATCAAACTTCACTATAAAGAGAAGCATCTTGGGACACTCCTGCTGTCCCACTTCCTCCACAGAAAGCACTGCAGGAAAAGCCAGAGCCATGGGACTCTTTCCTCTATTAATCTCCTTGTCTTCACAGGCCCAGGCTGGGTCACCACCACTGCAGCATGGACATACTGTAAGCAGTAAAGCACTGGGGTGTGCAGGAACATAAGCATCCCACCTTGACCCTTCTGCACAGGAGGAAAAAAAGAGAAGGATTCAACCCTCCAGCAAGGAAGACAAGTAGAAACCCATTGTGTACCACTCTGGTTTTTGAGTTCACTCCATGTTCCCTGCCTCCACTCAGCCCCAGGCAATCCAGCCTCCTACCAGGGTGTAGATATCTTTCATCTCCATGGCCCGATGGTGGAGGATGTCCCTGCGCAACACGATGAGGAGGAAGAGAAAGCCCAGCATCATGTGGCCCACGTTGCTGAGGATGTTATTGAAGGCACTGCAGGAAAGCAGGTTTAAGACAAAGGCAGCACAGCAGCAGGAAGCTGAACCCTGGGTTGTGATAAGCTGAATCCATTTTGCTCCCCCACTCCACCACCTTCCACCTCAGCAGCTGCCAAACTGCAATCTAACTCTCCAGATGACAATTTAATTCAAATAGTTCACCTGTCCCAGTTAATTTAACACTTCTGAGAGATTCCCAACTCTGGGCTTCCTTTGCACTCACACATTAATTTAGAGAAATGCTACACTGGAAGGACTGATCTGAACTTCTTTGCAGAGCTGCTGCTCCTTGGATACAAGTGTCCTATAGAGCACAGGAGCACCTCATCGCTGTGCCAATGACTTGCAAGGGGCACCCAGGAGCCACAAGTTCTAGGGTGAGTGTGTCTCACTGCAACAGAGCAGCGCTGCTGAGCAAAACACAAAGATCAGAGTCCTAAACTCCCAGTGGTCTTATCAACACTGCTACTGTGAGCCTGGCAATTATAAAATTGAGACCTGGACACAGCACAAACACTCAGGAGGTACGAGACAAAGATGCAGTGACGAAAGGGCTCACTCACCTCAGCACGCCAAGGGGATGAGCACACAGGAAGTTGTAGTAGCAGATGTCCTGATTGCCAGTCACATTCACTACCTGGACAGAGAGCAGGTGGGAGGCCTGCCATTAGCAAATCCTCCCTGCTCTGGGGGGTTTGCCCCATGCAAACACGGCACAAACACAAGGCATACCAGGACACAGCCTAGCACCCACACAGGGGAGTACTGACGTCTTGCAAGCAAAGCTTTTAGGGTGGGACAAGATGTTGTCAAGGGCCACAAAGCTGATAACAGTCTTCAGAGGAAACACTGTGTGCTCTCAACCCCCCACTAATAGACCTGCTTGCAGATATCTGAGTAACAGCAGGATAGCAAAGGCTGGGAGAAGGCAGGAGAAATCACAGCAAACACTACTTGATTTCAGAGATAACATCACATTCCTCCTGTCTCTAAAATGAAGCAGGACCCAAAATGAGACATCAGCTGATCAGGAAAACAGCAGCACTCCCACTTCCCAAGCAGAAATAGCAGAAGTGCAAGCCCAATGAGCCAAGCTCACTGTAACATCAACACAGTGCAGCGAGAGCAGCTAAGGTAAACTGCTCCTCACACAGAGCAGAACTCCTGGGTGATCCCAGTTTCACTGTGACTGTCACCCTTGCACAACACAACCACAGGGCAAGTTTAAAGCAAAACGGGGCAGCCATGGAGCCAAACGCACCGTCTGGTATGTGATGACCAGCTGGATGACCGGCAGGGCATAGAACACCGCAATGGTGATGATGTTCCTGCAGAGGGGAGACAGCAGCAGCAGTTACACACACACCAAAACCAGGGGTGCACACCCAGAAGAAAGGCCCACAGTGCTCGTGGAGGAATGTGCACACCTCACTGCTCTGGTGTTACGATCTCATTGTGAGCCCTGATGCAGAGGAGCACGTGTGCTCATGCACACAGGTGGCAAACCAGAGGCAGATGCTAAGGGCACAGGAAAAGCCAGAGTGCTGGCAGCAAGCTCATGTGTTTGAGTGCCAGTTTCTCCTCCTTCCCATTACATTTCAGTGCACTGGTTGTTACCACGGTTAAAAGCAAATGATGCAAAACAGAGTCCATTGCCAGGATCATGTGCGCACTGGTCCACAAATATCCTTATTGAGGTACGTGGGATCTGCAGTTACTGATTGGAACAGGGTCAGAATGGGCAAGAGGGTAGTTCAGAAGTGGTTCAGAAGAAAGGCATGCAGACAGACTCCACAACCAGAGACTATGGGTCCAGAGTTTGGGTCTTACCAGTTTGGCTTCTCCTTACCAGAAATAGATTTTGTATTTTTTGCTGACAATCCTTCGGTCTTTCCTGGACAAATCTGATAGATAGAGGAACACCTAAAACATTATCAGGTGGGGAAAGAGGGAAGAAAACACAAAAGAATCAATGTAGATTACAGATGCCAGTAGAAGATCTTGACATATTTGCAGCTTGGTGGTATTTGAACTGGTTTTACACAGTGAACTCACTGTGGCCCTTGATTCTATGGGACTGAGTTCTGCAAAATCCTCTGACATTCAGAAATGGCTCCAACAGAGCCACACAGAGCAGCGCAGGATGACAAAAGGAGGTGTTTGAGAGCTGCTGGCTTAAAGCCCCTCTGTACATCCACTGTAGTCACACTACTTGTACTAAATAGCCACCTGCTGCTGCAGATTATTTTCTCCCTATCTTCACACCTCCTTGAACTCTGGGCATTTTCCTCCTTTCTCAGTAGTCCAATACATTTTGATTTTCCATAATAAAGCGCTCACTTCAGCAGCACTCTTATCACAGTGGGAAAACTTCCAGTAACTGAAAAAAGACTAAGAAGCACACTCAGCTGTATTAGATGAAATCCACCCTGAAAGGCAACAGGATTTTTGAGATTTCACTCAAGTGACCAGTCCTGGTCACGGCCCAGACGTGCCCACGGCCCAGCACCAGCCGTACCTTCGTGCGGATGATGTTCTTGTCACTCTCAATTTCCGGCATGGTGTCGAAGTCGCTCTCCTCCTCCACGGAGCTGTCTGTGTCCGAGCCAGCCGGGGGCCTGCGCTCCGGGGAGGACAGCTGACGTCCACCGCTGGAGCTGGACTCGTCTGGGCCGCAGCGGGGAGAAGGAGACAGGCAGGGTAAAGGCTACATCCCTCTGTGCACAGCAAGAATCCAGCTGTGCCAGATGCTTTGGTGCTTTGACAAGTCGATAGGGCCAGTTCAAGGAAAAATTTTTCCATGATCCCAAACCTTCCAGAAGTTTAGGTGCTCAGCTAAGAGCAGTTTCAAGGACCATTATCTTTCCCTCTCTTCAGCATTTTAGTTTTCACTCTGTTTTTATTCTATTACTTTTCATCTGTTAACATTTTCTACTCTCTACTAGCCCAGGCTCTGAAATCTGGAATTCTGAGACAAGACAAACACCCCTAGAGAAAGAAGCAGACTGTTAGGGGTCAAAACCACACTCACCTAAGTTAACCTTCAGATTTTATGTAAACTTTATATATATCTAAGCTTTTCTAAAAATACTGTAGAACAAAAGACAAAGAAGAAAGTCAATTTTTCAAAGCAAGCAGTGTAGCAGCTTTATTCCCATTGCATCCCTGTACTGGTCACATACAGGTTAGCAGGACCTGCCTGCACTTCCCACAGGCTGGGCAACTCCCAGCTCATTGCCCACATCGGTATGGGCAAAACACAGGTTTCTTCCTCATTTCCCAAATGCTTTTAAAAGATTTCTTTGGAAAAAGGGGAAGGAGGGGTAAAGTGGCCATTAAGCCCTCAGGAAGTTTTTTTCTCCTCTGCCTCCAGGGCATGATTCACCTGTTGTCAGTATGACATTATTTCTTCCCTAGTGAAACTCCTGGGGACAAGAAACTCTGATTGTGTCTTGCTTTATGGCACACAACCCTTCAGCCTCCCAGGGACAGGTATGTTTTGGTTTAAAGGCAGGCTGTGAGCTAATAAAAGGCTCCTAGAAGCTTGCTTGCAAGGGACCTTTTTCAGTCACTAGTAAATGTCCTGCCTGAAGCAGCACTGTCACCCACAGCTCTCAAGTGACTGTAGCTTTGTCTAAGACACATTCCCAAATGACAGTCTTTTGGGGTACCTCTTTCAGATTTGCCACTTTTATTATGTAGTTGCTTTTCCCTAAAGTGCAACCTGAACCTAGCAATCTGTAATTTGGTTGTTTGGGTTTGGTTTTGTTTTTTGGTTTTTTTTTAATAGCTGCAAGACACTCCTAAAGTAGCTTGCAGCTTTATTCTCCTCTGGTGTTAAATCACCCTAAAAGTGCCTTGCTCCACCCCAGGGAGAAGCCTCCCTGTGCCCCAGTTCTGGAATATACTGTACCAATAGCACCGTAGCTGCTTCCCTCAGGAGTGCTGGCTGAGATGGGGTGTGAAGAAGTCATCATCCCAGATCCTGCAGTAAAACAGACCCAGGAGGGACAGTTAGTTTGATGTCAGTGCTTCAAAACACCTCTGAGGTGAACACAAACAGCTTGAAGAGCTGGGCTTGAGAAAAGGAACATTTCTCTAAACAGATGGCAGTCTCCCTCTAGAGCATACTGTGCAAAAGGGAAACCCTCATTTTGCAGTGTGAAGGAAACCCATTCCCTTCAGCCTCCCCACACAGGGTGCCAGTGAGACTGGCAGCAGGAGCCCCCCGCCAGCACCCTGCACAGATCACACTGTGGGGCTGCCAGGCTTCCTAAATTTTAGAGCAAGTCTCATGATGTTCTTAACAGCCTTCTGAATTTCTAGTTCTTCTCTTTCCCCATCTCATGCAAGTCTTCAAATCTCTTTAAATCCTGCTGCCTTCAGCTATCTCTGGAAGAGTCACAGACTTTGGCAGGACAGCTGCTACATAATTTTAACCAATCAAGGAGAAAGAAAAAAATGCCTTATGTAAAAAGTGGTAATGATCTCGTGCTGATGACAAGAAGGGCAAGCCTTTGAGGGCTAGGAACACCCTGCCTTCTGTCCACATATAAGAAGCAAGGAGGAGTGCTCTCCTGCCTCCACATTCCCTCTTTTTGCTCCCAATGGTGGAGCTCAGCAGCTGACCTACATGGCAGAAAACAAGGCCAGCTGAATCCCTTCACTGAGAGGTCAGTCACAAAAGGGAGGGAAGCAAGGGCAGCAGGAACAGGATCATGTTTTCCAGTAGTGACAAACAGCGACACAAGTTAAGTTGCTTTAAAGCTTTATCCCTGCAACAATCTCATGTGGTCAGTCAGTGGCAAAGCAATGCAGAACGTGGCATAGTATTTAAAGCCTCACTGCAGCCTGGCAATGCCCTGGCTTCCCAAGCTGCATCTCTGGCTTCCCAGTACCTGACTGGTCTCAAACTGGCAGGTGCAGGCAGAGCCCTCTTTCCAACTGGAAATTCTGGGCATTTCTGTAACACCTTGCGAAGGGTTTTACTCCATTTTCATTAGCCACAAACACAGAGAGATCTAAAACTTGTCCCTGACTGACCCCAAGTCAGGGAAGCACCCATACAGCAATGATATTTGATATTTCAAGTCCCAATTACTGCTTCTCTTTGGCACGTCTGCTGTGCTTGTTGGGATGGGGGCTAAGACTTGGTCTCAAATTTTGGCTCCTTCATGCTCCTGCTCCATCCCTCTATCAGAGAAAACAAACAGCTCAGAGGAGCATCAGAAGTGAACATGGCAATGACTGAGCACCAGAGGGAGGGCTCTGGCCCACTGCAGTCCCCAGGTGACAGCCCTTGAGCCCTGAGCTGAGATTGGCAGGATGTTGTAGGTTGCAGCACGAGCAAGATGCAGCTTCTACTCATCACCTCCAATCCAATGTCCCTCTCTCGTGGAAGCTTTTCCTGTTGCTTTAAAAGTCATTTGGAAATCCAGATCACTGGGAAGAGGGCAAAACCATTTCCCTATGTTCACAGCAGCAAGGCACAAGCACAATTCCTAGGCCTGTCAGTCCTGTTCCACAAGGATACTCCCTCCTAATTTTAGCCCAGGCTTTATTCTCTCAAGTGACCTGTCAACCTTCTCTCCCAAGTTACCAAAGATTTAATCTGGACAAAGCAGGCAAGCCAAGCAGAAGAGGCACTCTGCCCTGTCTCTAACAGCCACTTTGAACCCAGCTCACCCACTAATTTCCATCCCACTTCCCACTGCGAGAGTGAGTCAGCAAAGTAAATCTACCACACCAGGCGTGGTTCCTCCAGCTATTGCCTCCACCAGATAGTGAGGATGTGGAAGGGAATGTGTGTCATGGGATTAAAAAAAAAAAAAAAGTGAACCATAGAAGCCAGACATAAGATGAATAAGAAGAGGAAAGAGGCACATGGAGTGTCAGGACATTCCAAGACCAATGGCAAGGACACATTACTGAGCATTTCTATCCAGTTTCTTGGTGGGAAGGAACAGGGAGTAATGAAGAAGGCAAGACCAGGGGTACTTGGGAGAGAAAGACATTCCAAAGGGTGGGAAGGGGAGAAAAAAAGAAAAAAAAAACAGAGAAAGCTAGTGTGTCCACTGATCAGGAAGACAGGGAAGCTGCTAATTACCATTTTATAAGCATCAGTCAGACACACCCTGAAGAGACAATAGATGAAGAAACAGCGTGTGGGTAGGACACAATTCCTCCCCAGAGGAAAGGACGTGGCTGCAACATGCAGTGCCAGGTGTGTGAAGTGGCAGTGGAATACAAGGGAAAGGACAGGCCACAGAAGCAGTAGGTGCCTCTGGGAGGAAAGCTGTAAACTACGAAGGAACTGTGCTCCTCTCTCCCTCCACAGGGATGCTGTTCAGCAGTCCTCCCTGCTAAGCAACCCAATTCTCTACTCTCCAGGTCCATACTAAATCCAGCATCAGTGCCCTGCAGCTTCTTTGGGAACTTTCCAAACACCAGAATTTAACTTCCACCTCTCAGCAGGGCAGTTTAGAAGGCAGCTTCTAAGTTGGCTTCAGCACATTAAACCTCAGCTGCAGCATCAGCAGCACTCCCTGGGACTTCTGGTCTCACCTGGCTGAGACTGTGCCTCCTTGTCTTAGACAGTGGCTCCTTGTCAGGACCCTGGAGCTCTTTCACAGCCTTGGACAGGTCCCTTCAGCTTACTCAAACTCCCCAACATACAGACTTTTCCCATTGCTCCAGTGCCCTAAGACCTGCTCCTGTTTTACAGCAGGATCCATCCCAAATGATATAAAATTAGATTATATTTATGGACGTTTTTACAGTTCCCTGTACATGCTGTGAAAAAAACTCTTTCACATGTACTCCAAATACAGGGGTACATGTGAATCTTAGTGGCTGACAAAACAAGTCTAAAAATTCAAATGTCCCCAGGTCCTCAGCAGAAATATTAAGCCAATTAATGCCAGTCAGAGTGAAGTTCCACTGTGGACCCTTTAAACACAGCTCAGTTATACTACCATGCTTATCTGATGGGATGTAGCAGACTGGATAGACTGAAATTGCTCACATCAAATCAAGAACCTCTCAATGCTGCCAAGACTATGTGCTCCCCTCCTCCAGGAGAGAGGTACAAATGACCTCAGCACCAATGCTTTGAACTACTTTGCAGGCACTAAATATTTAATCAAAATGAAAAGACTCCTACAACTCACCAGAAAGCTAGAACTCCCAGTGCCCCCCATCCACATGACAAAAATTTCCATCTTTCACTGGCAGCTTCTTAGATGCAGCTCTGTTTTTATGAGGCAGAAGGCTGCAGCTTGTGGAAATGTGGGTGCAGCACAAAGTAAACTGAGTCCAATGCCAACACAAATATCATAAACACCACTACCTAACTCTGTTAGTCATTCATTCACCTGGCTGTCTGCAACGTCCAGTGAAAAACAATTCAACATTTAAATTCAATTAAAACATTAAAAGACCCCATGCTTAAACCAGGCAGAGGAATTCTTAAAGCATAAGAGATGACACACTCAAAAGTGCCTTGTTTAAAAATCAGCAGACCTGGCAATTAGCCTGTAGCCAGGTCCAGGCAAGGCTTGGCCTTCCTCCACCCCTTTAAAACACAGCTCCTAGGGGTAGGAGTCAGGACCAGGTTCAGGGCAGCTGGCTTCAAAGGCCCCCTCTTGTGAGGGCAGAGAGGAAGCTCTAACATCTCTCCTCAGCACAAGAGTCTGTATGAGCTACCAGGGAAGATAGCTGCAGGACAGAAGGTACTCGACTGACAGCCTGTCCTCTGCCTGGCCCAGGCCTGTGCTCTTCACTCAAAGCTGTCACACGACAGAGAAGAGACCTTACCATGCTCAGGGCTCAGTCTCCCAGCTGAAGCCTTCCTCTGAACCCTGCAAAGCAACAGACAGCACTCATGAGCCAGCCAACAAATCTCATCACCTGCCAGCCATGGCAGGATTATCTGGGACACCAAAAGGTAAATGTAGCACAAGCTCAAAAAAAAAACCAAATAAAACCAACAAAAATAACCACAGAAGAAACAAACACACATAAGAACAAAAAAGAAAAACACTGTTTTGACCATACACAACTCAGCCATGATTGCTTGCTGTCCACCTCTCTAACTTCCAAAGCAACAGAGTGGTTTTTCATCCCCTCAGTTATCCACCAGAGGCAGGACAATCATTTCCATGATTTATCCCATCCTACACAGCTCAGTATGTTGGGAGAGACCTTCACACCATCTTTCCAAACCCATCTTCCCTGCTCAGGGGACCAAGCATGTATTAATCTACTCAAGGAGCAGCAGGATCTAGAGGCACTAATTAGCACAATGCTTAAGAAGCCCATATCACGTCTGTCAATGCAGATGTCAAGCAGAAGGAAGATGGTAAAAAAAACAACAAACCAACAAAAAAAAACCCTACCAACATATTCCCACAACACAGAAAAATATCAGCAAATAAGAACACACACTTAAGTAATTTCATTGAATTGTTCCAATTAAATGTATTTTCATTGATGTGTCTTGAAGTTAAGCGATGCCCACGCAGACATTCTTCTCAACACAAGCCCAGACACCTAAGTTTGGGGCAGGGGAGGCAGGTAAAGAAGGAAACCAGCATTCTTGGGACTCCGAGGCCCAATCTGTGTCACTGTCACTTATTTCAGTTCTCAGTCCAGCATGCTCTCACACTCCATATCCCAGACTGGTCCCTTCACATTTCCCACCTTTTGCTGCCCAATGTCCTTATATAAGAAAACACAGGGTTGGGGCACTACAAGATTGGGAGGGCAGACCCTTAGATTATCATCCTTCCCATGGTCCCCATAGCAGAGGAAGAAGTGTTTTCTGGCTGACGGTCAGTAGGAGCCCACTGAGTAGTCATGGACTTCTTCAGCTGCTCTGCTTAGATGCTTGCCACCCCACTCATCCCAAATTTTCTGCAGGGTGTGGTGTCCCTGATGACAAGAAACAGAAAGGCTGTTCTTTTATAACCCCTTGACTCACCTAATGTAGTGCACAAAAGCAACAACCACTGAGCCCAGGTAAAAGGAGAGGAAACTCAGGAAGCTGAAGAACATGGCCTGGACATAAACAGACTCTGAGGAAAGAGAAGGGATCAGTCAGCTCAAAGAGCAGGAATAGCACCTCTCAGGAAGAGCACTCTTCCTTCACCTTGTAAAAATGCCCAGCCCTAAAGAGCCCTTCCCAACCCATTTGGTTTCTTCAAAAGGAATTGACAGAACCTGTTCAGCACCATCTCCCCCCATTTCTTCACCCCCAGTACTAGCTGGTGTGCCACACAGCCCTTCCTGGAAGGGAGCATGCTCCAAGTGATTTTGTCTCCTTTGCTGGTGCTGTCTGCTCCATTCCTTCAGAGGCTGCTGGCCCAGTCATACCCCTGTATTCAGTAGTGCCAAGTTCCCCTGTAAAGCTGCATTGCTTTGCCCAAAGACACTGACTTTTAATGGAGGGTACAATCGTCACTTGAAGGTTCTTTGTCCGCTGCAGGTTCCAGGTACGGTTAACATTTCCTGTGAGGTGCAGTGCACAGAAAATATAAAAACAATCAAGATTAATGATTCCTGGCACTGATCTTGGTTCTCTGAACTTGCAAAAAACAACAGGGCCTGGCTTTTCACTAAAATGTGTAGGTGGTTTTGCTTTAAACTGTTGTCTGATCTATCAATATACAGCCTTTCCCAAATGTTTCCCCCTTCCTCCCTGTTCACAAACTTTTTTTCAGACTAGAAATCCCTGCTTGAGCCTTCCATATATTGCTTAAGTCTGGATATCTGAATCCCAAAGGCATCGCATCTCCTATTCATTTAATCCCCAAAGGAGAGGTTCTCTCATTACAGGTAGTGGGAGTCCATTTTTGCCTTTGGCCAAATCTCTGTGAGCAAAACACTTCTGTGCAGGATGCCACTCTAGAAACTCACTCTGTTTCTGTAGGGCTTAGCACACCTGGCCAGTACAGCTCTGCTGACAGCCTCAGGATGAGAGAATGACACCCCAAAAGGCACAGTTCTTTTTTTTCGGGAAAACTGGGGCAGAAAGGTGGCAGGGGAGTAGTAAAAAGCTGTTGAGGGAGCCCAATATATCTGTTGGTTGCAGTCTTGCTTCTTCTATAGAGAGAAAGCTTTGGGGCTTTGAGAATAGGAATGTTCCCACTCCAGTTACAGTCACTACATGAGTGGTGGAGACTTTGCTTTGCCCAGCAAGTGGACACAGTGTTTTCTGGTTGGAAAAGACACTAGAACAAACCTTTTGTAAAACTGTTTTCCCAGAATTATCAATTTTTCCTGTTCCCCCAAGTTCAGAGCAGTCACAGATCCCAAGATAGCAGTAGGAGAAGATGCTCTCTGCAGGAACTGAGACTCCATGGAGACAGGAGGATAATATAGCAGCAGGGAGCAGAGGTGAGAACCAAACAAAAAGCTGGAAGCAGCATTGCCTGGATGACTCCAGTGTCTCCCAAGGCCCCAGTGCTGCTGCTGAAAAGCACATAACCCCAACATACCAGGCACTGTACTAGCCCGCCACCTCCTGCATTTATCAAGACTTTTAATCTGCCCAACAATATCAAATTGATACTTCACTCTTCCTCACAACTAGCTGGATAAGACAGACCTACATAATCACCCAGTGGTATCCCACAGGAAGGTCCCAAAAGACACCCACTGCTCCATCACTCCGATGCAGCAATCAAATCCACCTCCCAGAACAACTTACCAGGAATTGAAGAAGGCACAGAACCCCCACAGGCATAATCCTCTGGCTTAATGACAAACACAACGAAGAACTGCTCACCTGGGAAATCTTTTCTCTGCACAGAAGGATGGAAGAAGACAGAAAATCCATGAGACACAAAGCCTCTCCCACCCAACAGCCCACAGATCAGGTTTTAACTGCTACACAGACACTAGAAAACACTGGGACACAAATCAGCATCTCACCTGCACTGTTATGGCTGCCTGCTTTGTCATAGACTGATAAACTCCATTGAACTCCACGTTATGGTCCAGGTCATACACTGGGCACTAAAACAGACAACTAAGAGTTAAACCAGGGACAACATCCAAACTATTTTCAAAGGAAGCCAGCTGGAAAACACAGCACAGAACAACAAAAAAAGGCCCCAGATGGGGTATCCAAGGGAACAGAACATCTTGCATCTCTGTCTGCTCCTACACTGCAGCCCCCTACATTACTCAGGGAGGTGGGAAAAGGGAATAAGTATGGGGCTATTTCCTAGCTGCAAGCAACAGCCAACCTCCATGACAGGAACACCCCAGGAAAGGAGATGAAACATATAGAAAGGAACTCGAGCTGGAAAGGAAGAAAGACACTGTGTGTCTGAAAATCAGAAGCTCCCCAAGCTGCCTTGAGCCAGGGGAGAGTCAAGAGAGCAGCACTGTCCCCTCTTTGAGCTACCAACATTCCACCCAACACCCTCCATGGAGAGACAGACCCATATCACAGGGCAGCAGGGAACCTCACAAGGGAGACATCTATTCCCTCTGTGGAATGTGTTCCCTAGGGATAGGCTAGAAAGGAATAGCTTGTTCATCTATTTACAACAAAAGTCTCCATATGAGCCGCTTGAACTCAGCATCTCTGTCTTGGCCTCCTTCCCAGAGAATTCTCATTCCTCTTTCAGGGGCTCCCTTCACCACCACCACCAGGGCAAAGCTCTCCCTCGGGCTTTTCCCTCTTCAGGGCCCAGCTGGAGCTGGACACAGCTCCAGCAGGCAGCTCCTTACCCTTCTCTGCTCAGACTTACCACAATGTCCTGGACAGAGACAACTGAGCACGGGTAGGCTGCATCAGACACCACATTAATAATGACTGAATCGACATCCTGAGGAAATTTGTACAGAAAATACTGCAGAGAAAGCAGAGTACAAGAGTCATGAGCCAGAAATCACCCTTGGCAGTATCTTCAACACTATCCCAAGCTACCTCAACAGCCCTAGATGGGCTTTGGGGTTGGATGTGGATGGCTTTCATAAAAAATCAGATTTCAAATATTAGAACCTTACACTGCAGAAGAGCAGATTAAATATATACAGGCAACTGTCCCCCTTGCACAGTATGCTATTAGGCACAAACATCTGCAACGAGCAAAATACAGCATAGCTTCTGCTCCCTTAAGCTTTTTTCCACCTGATGAAGCTAAAGTGACTTCATTTACACCCCATTCCATTTTACATTGATATGAGCAATTTCCGGATGTTTCCATACTGCTGGCTGTACTTTTATAGATGGAAAACATCACAGAGCTTTCTCAAATGGGCTGTCCTAAAGACAGACCATGAACAGTATTGGGTCAAATGGCTGAAAATCTGTCAAGAGTTTAATAAATAAATGATTGATATTAGTTGTAGGATTTAGGGTGGTTTGTTTGCTTTGATAGCAAAGCATAATTGGGGTTTCTTTTTGCACCTGAGCTTTGAAAATAATTCAGCTGTAACTCTAAAAAAATTTGTGAGACACTAATATCTGGCAATATTTCTACTTTTCCTGTGGGGGAAAGAATGGCTTCTCCTTCATTGAGCACGCCCATAGGAGAGTTTGTGGGGTTAGAAAAAGCTGGTTTTTCAGATCTGGGCAAAAGATGTCCCAGGCAACATCATTATTTGTATATTTGTTCAGTAAAAGTTTGATGCGCTACCCCAGCCTGCTGCTGGAGAAGTGGGGCTCCTGTGCCTGCCCCAGCAGGATGCTTGTTGCAAGGGCTCCCATCACCCCACTTGGAGGCCAGACCCTGAGAGCTCAGGCTCCAAGCCACAGCTACCACAAGGGGCTGATGGGCACCTCATACCCCCTCAGAGGGACACAAGGCTGAGGAGTGCCACCAGCCACCTTCCTCCCTTCCATATGGTCACCAGGCAGCCACTGCTGCCACACGGGAAGCCACCAACACCCCTGCTCCAAAACCATCACCTGAGACGTTCCCAACTGTAGAGCTCCCTTTCTGGCACATAAATTTTATTGCTGAGCAAGGGCCAGCTGCTTCCTGTTTCTCTTTCCCCATGCCAATCCCAGAAATTACCTCCCCGAAGTGGGAGGGCAGGGACAAGCAGGAAATAACCCAAGCCTTTTCCAAGTTGCCCATTTCTACTAAAGCATTTATTCCCAGCACCCCTCCCCAAGCAGGGTCCCTTCCCTGCTGAAGGAGCACTGGCTCCAACCACAAGTCCCTACAAATGCAAACTCACCAAGCCAGTTTCCTCAGCAGAGCACGTTTCGTCTGCACCAAGCAAGGACACGGGCAGACTGAGCTCCTTGGTTTCCCAGGGGCACTTTTTCCCCTTGGAAAGTTTTAGGGGCATGAGGACCACCTTTTAGTTCATGAGGACTCTTCTATAATTTCGTCTAAGCCAGGCTTGCACCAAGGTACAGAATTAACACAAGGGCATTGAGGCCAGCAGTTCTCTGCTGCACACACTGCAAGTGTTAAAAACACATCCAGCCAACACTTCTCACCTATACAAGCATATCCAATTTCTGCTTCTGCCCTCAGGCACAAGTTGAGCTCCAGACAACATCTCCTTCAGTTATTACGCCTTTTTACAACAACCATCTAGATTTTAAATCATCTTTTTTTTTCTTTCTTTCCCCTGCAGACTGCTTAATACTTTGATTTACAAAAACCTCAGCATTACACCAATTAAGAAGAAGTCTTCTACTCTATACACCTGGTTATTAATTAAAAGTCATAAATCTTGTATTATTAATTGTGACAAAAAAAAAATCAGACCACAGTCACAAAGTTCATTTCACATCCTAAACACTCTATATTCAAATCACAAAATCCTAAGTAATGAGTGCTTACAAAGAGTCACCATCATTCCCTATGCTTCTATAGTATAAAACACTGCATGAATCTGCAAACCAGATTAAGACATTTGTCAGCAAAAAGGATTAGCTAGGATGCCTGGTAATACAAAACCTAAAATTAAATGGTGTTACTAACAGTGAAAGCAACAACAAAAACAGAGACCCAGAAGCCTGGGTAAATCACACACCCTCCTAGCCCTACAAGTTCCTATATCTCTACAGTTACTGCCAACAGCATTTTCATTCAAGAGAGGATTCATATCTGCAGCTCTAAACAAAGCTGTTCAGCTGGAGGTGCTGCTCATATGTGCCTCCTTCTGAACTAACAGACATACTGATGTCTTAAGTTTTAGCTTTCATATTTTCTAGATTCTTCACTGTATTAGTATATAACTCATTAAACTATATATCTATCATATAACTCTAAATTTCATATAGAAAGATCAACAATCACATCAACCACTTGAATGTGGTAAGACATACAAGTAATCTACACAGGATTCTCCTTACCTGGGGCTGGGAAGGGCTGGCAGTGAAGTTAAAGGCTTTGTTGGTCCTACAAAACAAATGCTAGAATGTTGAAGTCTAAAACTTTTAGAACCGGAACACACCCAAAATACCCTCAGATTAAACAAAAGAAATTTTTTTTCCCCTAGGAAGGAAAAATAAGGGAAGAGTAGGCAGACAGACCAAGTGCCTTAAGTGATGTTCAAGTGATACATGAAGAAATTGCATTTGTATTCTCACACCCCAGCTTACTCAAGTTGGAAGTTCTCCAGCCTGGTGACTAGCAGCTCATATGCAATATTGAACGGTGCCATGGAAGCGACGTCCACAAATATAATCTGGTCAGAGGGTCTTGTTTCAGGTGTTGGCTCAGAGGGACACAGGGTCCTACTCACTTCTTGGTATTTGTAGGTCCTCTGGTAGCTACAACAGCCAGGGAAAGGAGGGAAGAGAAAGTCGTATATGAAAGAGAGAGAGAACAATTAGGAAGTTTTTCAGCACTACTAAGAATGGCATCATTTTGCCTCTGTTTACATAAATGAAATTGTCATCTAAAAGCTCAGGAGCATTCACTCTTTTGTTCAGCATTCAAGCTCCACCTCTGTTGCCTCTTGCAATCTGCACAAGGGACTGGTCATCCTCAACATTTCACTTTCCCTCAGGGATGCCCACGACAGCTGTGGATTTCTAATATCTGCCATTTAGTGGAGGCAAAGAGAGCACTGACAGTCACTGCTGTACCCATCACCTGCATCAGGCAAAACACTGCACGATATCTGCTGCTGGCACCAGGATTCAGCCACAGGATGAAGCTTCACATATGAAATGGACTAAGGTGCCTGAAAATTCTCTATTTGCAGCCCACCGAGCTCTGGGGTCAATGAAGATACAAAGCAGCACTGCTTTCATAAAGAAGCAGCCCCAAAACAATAACACTCTAGAAGAGGAAGCAGCCCCAAACCACCCTCTACAATAAACTTAACTTAGATGTTCCTGAGGTAAGAAAGAGAAGCCCCAAATGCACTGTTACACAGAAGCTACGGTGCTCTTTCAATAGCCTGTTCAAACCCTGTCCCAAACCAGAGCCCAGGAACTACCTGCACACATGGCAGGCAACTGTGGAATGACAGCAACGATGTGTGGTACATTCAGTGACTGGTGCCACAGGCAGATCCCCTGCAGACAACCCCCTGGTACTGTGTGCACATATCTGAGAAGCTAATAGCCAAGAGCAGGCTGCCAAGTGAGAGGTTATCTATCAAATCCTGCTCTTCCTACACCCAGCTGGCAGTGAGCAAGGACCAACAGCGTACCACAGTGGACCACAGCCCTGCAGTGTACGCAGGTTACAAGACACAGCAGGTGAGGGAGGCTGCTAGAGGAGTGTGTCACAGAGAAGAGCCTCCAGTACTTACAGGCCTCGAAAAATCAGTGGGACCTGCCATGAGAGCACTCCCTTCTGCTGGCGGACTACAAACAGGACGGGGTACTGGAGGTTCTCGGAGCTGCTGTTCACGTACACCCGCACTGCATCTACCTGTGGGAAAAGAGAGCATAAGCTGAAGGTAGAGAACAAGGCAGCTCCAAGTCTAGGAGGGAGAAGCCTTTCCCCCTTCCTCAGTCTGACCTAGGTGCTGACAATATGCACAGGGAGATCAGCAGTGTTTATCACTAGACTAATTAATAAGATTCAGAAATCATTTACAGAAGTGCCTCTCTGCTGATGCTGCAGTCCAGAATCATAGCCCTGTGCCCAGGTCAGAGGTGACTGTCAGACAAGACACAGTGGACAAATGCAGAATACATAAGAGACTTCAGTAGCTTCTGTTGGGAGCAACCTACATGACTTATCCTACAAAAATTAAGCAAAAAGATGTGGACACACAAGACAAAGACCCAAAGCTACAACTAAGAATTTTCTTGCCTGGACTCTTACGTGCCCAACTCAATCAACACTACTGGGAAAGTCACAAAGATGACAGCAAGAGCCAAGGATGAAAAAGCAGATTAGCACCTGGCTCTCATGTAAACAATTCCATTTTAACCATAATCCCACCTAACAAAACAGGAATATACTGCTGACTGCCCTCAAGTGGACAAGAAAGGCTGCTTGTGACAAAGGGTTTTAATGCAGCCCACTACACCAGCAATTGAAATTTCTCCTTACATTATCATTGGCCATCACATGGTTGCAGATGTGATGTAAAACACCGTTAGCTCACTATTTGAGAAGCAAGAAGTTTGTCTGCACCACATGGAAATATCATCATTCCCGTTTGAAAACAGCATCCTTTCAGCTCCCTCTCCAGAACTACAGTCATTGATAAAGAATACAAAATACAAGAGTGCATAACTCATCATGTGATAAGAAACAGTCCATCTCAACTAGAGGCTTTGAAATAATCAAAACATATTAAGCAGATAATATATACACATTTTAAATCTGCCACATCCTGGAAGATTATAATGGACTCTCACTAGATTGGTAAAATACTTCTCACAGATATTCTTCATGTGATAAGAAACAGTCCATCTCAACTAGAGGCTTTGAAATAATGAAAACATATTAAGTAGATAATATATATACATTTTAAATCTGCCACGTCCTGAAAGATTATAATGGACTCTCACTAGATCGGTAAAATACTTCTCACAGATATTCACAGATTTTATACCCTTCCAGAACAGTAAAGGTTCAAGGAGGCAGCATGTTCTGAAAAGAACATACAGAATTAGAAAGCTAGAAGAAGGAGAGTTATCAGAGACAGCAGCTTATTCTTACCCTGGGGACACCAGTTTCAGAGAAAATACTTACCTCTGCAATTCCAAGTAAAAGAAAGTTTCCTATTTATTCTTGTTTGGTGATTCTAGGCTCACAAGGGAGTTGAATCTAGTAGAACAAAACACCTTTCTGAAAGCTATAATCATCAGTTTTCCTGACATTATCACCACAATACAGAGGCAACAGCCACCAATTCCAAAAAAATTAGGTCTTCAACAAAAAAAAAAAAAAAAAAAAAAAAGAACCAAATAATTTAATTAAAACCCCCTTGAAACCCACCAATTCCAAAAACATTAGGTCTTCAACAAAAAAAAACAAAAAACAACCGAACAATTTAATTAAAAGCCCCTTGAAATAGAAGAGCAGACATTAGAATCTTTTCTCATTGCCTTCTGGCTTCTAAACCTTTGCAAAGCTCTTCTGGCCTGCTTTCCAGTTTTTCCTTCCAGTCACAAGAAATACATATGCAATTTTGTTTCCAAGTATATTTCACCGTAAGGTGCTAAAACAAAGTTAAGAAAAACAGCACCACAAAGCAAAACACACAAGAAACACCTGAAGGATGTCACCACAGCAGCATTGGAAGATAACTAATTGGTGTGACTTGGAAACACAGGGACTGGGCTGAACAAGCTCCTGCTTGTTTCTTGGTGTTTGTTGTGACAGGGAATGAGGACATGAAGGAAGCAATTGGAACTGAACAAGAAAACAAATCTAAGGAGCATCAAGACAAAATGGTCAAGCCAGTCTCCTGCAAGGACATGGAACAATTCTCCACCCATGGGGAAAATAACTATCACTGCAGAAAGGACACATTTCAGCTACCTGTCCAGCAACTTTTTGCCCATGGAACAGTTCAAGCAAGCCCACCTCCACAGGTGAAGTGATTCTCACTTGCCTCAGGCTGGACATGGCTCTGTGAACCCTCTAGGGCTCAGCACTTCAGCTCAATGCAATGGGGAGCTCACATCAAACTCACAGCAAATACCACTACTGCCTTATTCATCCTCAACTATCCATAAATACAAGCCAGAGATTGGGAAATTCTCTTCTCCACTGACTGCACAAATACAGACCATAACCCAGGACATGAGTTATGCATATATTGCAAATAGTCAGGCTTTCTTAATTGTCCATGAGTATGTGTACATTAAATGAGTACAATTCCCTCCCAGCCCTCTCCTTATGGGAGAGGTATTCCAGTGCCTTCATTGGCTTTGTGGCTCTGCACTGGACTCACTCCAGTAAATCCATACCTTCCTTATACTGGGGAGACCAGAACTGGGCACAAGCAGGATCACCTAGAGCCAGCTGACCATGGATGGAGACTCCATAGCCTCTCTGGAAGACCTGTTATGAAGACTGACCATCCTCAGTAAGAAAATAAAGTTTCCCATCTATTCTGAGAAGTGCAAGGGAAGGGAAATAAAAACACTGGTGATTAATGCTCTGACACAGGAAAGCCTGAGAAGTGGGAGGAAGTCCCTTCCCTCTGCTGTGATCCAGCAGCCAGACCCCTCATTTGGTTTCCCTCTCTCCACAAAACTAAGCTGATTATACACCACCTACAACATTTATTCAGCTTTGCTGCTGATTCCATTATCTTATAATATGTGTAGGAAATAGGAATATCAGGAGAGGGAAGTAAGAGTCTCAAGACTCAGTACTCCTTTAAATCTAAGCAATTACTCACAAGAAAACTGGTATATGCCATATTACTACCATAATGACTTCTCTGCATCCTTATTGTGCTCAGCACTCTGTATTTGCTCTCTGTTACAGCTGGTTGTAGCTTCTTTGCCCTACTTCCCTAAAAGTATAGATTCAGGTGCCTTGAGCTCTTTTTGGTCTGATAATATCTGGGGCAAGACCAAGCTGCATCAAGGCAGGACCAGCTATGGACTAAGTATGGGCTCCACAAATGGGATCCCACTACACTTCCTTCCCCCTCTCACCTTTCCCTCTGTACTCTACACAGGCAAAGCTGCTTCCCAGGCCACATTCAAACAGGGTGCTTCAAACAGAGAGGAACATCAGAAGTCAGAAGCAACACTTACAGAGCAGCTCATTAAGAAGATCCCAATGTAATTTAAATTTCACTTCAATATACCAACAATTCACTTACAATGAATACCTCTGCTCCTCCTACATTTGCACATACCCAGATCAATCCGGAGCATCACACTGAGTCTAACTCCATCAATATCTTTATAATAAAGTCCAGGAAACAAACAGGGTGATTAAGAAGCTGGACAGGTGGCAATTGAGGTTCCAGTCCATCATGTTATCCACCCTGCTGTCATCGCCACAGCAACACGGGGCCTCTTGTGGGCAGATCCTGCACTTCCAGTGAAGGGGCCAGATCTTTATCCCAGGGTGCAGCTCTGCTCTTCCCTCAGGATCTCAGGGATACAGCAGCAGCTCCCAACCGCTTTGGTTGATGGGCATCTTTCTTATACAACAGTTATTTCTGCCAAACACTGCAATAACACAGGTGGGATTTGCCTTCTGGCCAAACCTGCACAAGAAGTTCCCAATTAATGGTTG